ACATTTTTTTCCACAATTTGAAAATTTTAAATAGTCTCGTAAAAATCATACAGTATGTCAGTTGAGGCCCATTAATAAAAATATGATACAGTACACTGGTTCGTATGTAGTGTTTATTACATTGGGTTTATGTGCATCCGCTGATTGAAGCTGAGATGAAAATGCCTATATAAGAACAGAAGAACACCTACAAGAAATCTTCCCGCAAAATTATTGTGTACTTTTATGACCTTAAGTTAAAGTGCTGTAAAGAGAGAATGCTTTTAAAAAATAAAGCTGGTAAATTATTTTATTTTTAATTAAGGTTGAATCAACATTTGGTGTGGCTAGCCTTTGTTTTTTAAGCAGCTTTTGTCTTACACCTGCTCAAGATTTTTTTAGGTAGCTTTGCATGTAGGTTTCTTGATCTAGAAGCCTCTTGAAGATCCGGATTTAGTCTCAGTTCTGTTTCTTCATGGTGATGGTGAGCATTTGCTGCATCTTGTGCAAACAAATATCTTTTTACTAATTGCACAAATAATGTTAGGAAGTCTAAACTGTTGTTTATGACACACTACAGAAAAAAAAACCTGCAAACAAAAACATCTTTTGTGTTTGACAAAAGAAAGTCAAACTGGTTTGGAACAACTGGAGGAAGAGAAAACAAATGAATTTTTTTTGTGTGAAATGTCCCTTTAGAACAAAACCGCGCTAGTCACTTTCATAGTATGGCTCCCTGAAAATTGTGAAAAGGTTTATTACGAATATATCCTGATATGCTGAATATGTCCTTCAAATTAAAATGTTGATCCTTTTTCCTGTTCATCCATGTAAGGCAGCATTGACACGATCTACATTCTATAAAGCTCTGTAAAAAGTATGAGTGACTTGGCCCCCTGACCACACTAACGTGATTACATTAACTCTGGCTTCAATCAAGCGTTTGCTCTTTTGTCTGGAGTTGTTAAACTTGAAGTTTTGTGTCTAGTCTTTGAAACTGCATATTATTCTATTTGTGGTGCTGTCAGTTTAGATAGTAGACTTTAAGATCAAGTTTATTTTACTGTAAGCGTGTCTAATTGGTTTAAAGGCACTGACTGAAACGTGAGTTAAAAAACAGTTACGTTAACAAAGACATGCAAATACAGAAGACATGTCACTCATATCTAGGCCTTCACGGAATCTGCGCACGCAGAATTCTGCAGATTTTCCACAGAATTCCGCAGAATTCTGGAGATTTTTAGCCCATTATTAATTCTATTTATTTACTTGAGTAAATGTGTAAATATGAATTTATTCAGTAATTTATTACTTTTTATTTAATATATTAAGGTTTTAGTTATGATACTCCGCTGGATACTCCCAAAATAATTCCGCAGAAATCAGCAGATTTTTACCAGAATTCTCTGCAGAAAAAGCGAAAAAACGTCCACAGATTCAGTCTGGCCCTGCTCATATCTTATTGAATGGGGAAAAGTGTAATGGTCAATATGATGAATAAAGCCCCGCCTACTACTACAGGAGCCAATCATTGATCGCTATATGGCGAATAAATCCCGCCTTCTAGCACAGGAGCCAATCATCGATCGCTATAGACTGACGTTCCTCCGGGGGAGCGGCTCGGACCAGACGTGAGTTTCTGTATACACTTTTGTGTGATTAATTTGGATGTTAAAAAATGAAACCAAAGTCCCAGTTGTTGTATAGTTTTATTGTTGTTCCCTAATATGAATTTCAATCGTTAGCTTGGCAAACAGTTTTGGAGAATTTGATGTTTTCCCATTCAGATAGAATGCCCGATAATACTGCTCGAGAGGCGTTTCAAAGATGGCCGCCGAGTGAAATGACTCGTCTTAAAGGGACGTTAGTCAACAACCCACTACTGTGAAGTCTGTGACATTGACGATATGATTTGAGTTGAGTGAGAAGGTAAACTATTTTACTCAACAATTGTGTAATATATAAACAAAACTAAAGATGATAGTGTTTAAATGACCTAAAACATGCAATGGCCACTAATTCAACTGCTTGTCTAATTTTCAATCCGTCGAGACACTTTATATTCATCACACGATAGATCTAAAGGAAAATTCTGAAAAGACGCAACCTCTGCACAAGCGAAGAAGACATCTGTGACCAAGACAGTGTGGACATCACAGCAGAGGAAATGTTTATGGATGGCCTTGACTTTGTTTTAGATCTGTAAGTTAAGTCTTTTTGCACAATTCCGTGAAGGATATAAACCTTTTATTTATGATGCTGAATAATGTGTTTGATGTACTTCAATGTATTCAAAAATGTTTCAAGGTCTAGTTAATTTAAAAATTAAAAAAAAAATATATATATATATATATATATATATATATATATAATATCTATGTCAACATTTTTATTAGTTATCAGTAGTTCATATTCAATTCAAATAAATTTATTAAATTGCTTATGGTGCTTATTATATTGAATATTATGTTCATCACTTTATTCCAGAAAACCCACATCATATAAATATTTTATAGCAATCTTTGGTCCTTAAAATACTTTACTCACTATCCTTACATTTGCTTGTACTTTCATGCACTGACTCATTTGCAAAGTAGGTGTGAAATTCAGTGCTAATTTTGTTTTGTTTCTTTGTTGTGCCTTGCAATAGGCCTTCACTTGAAATTTACACACAAGAGGAGGACTGTGAGAATTGTTTTGACATTACAAAGGCAAATTAATAAAAAAAAAATTTAGGACAGTGTCAAAATAGATAGTTAGTATGGGCTTTTCTCCATGTTTATGATTCAGCATCATCACAAACACACAGAGAACAATCTATCCATGGAAACAAGTACAAACACTTTATTTGATATGTCATGACATTTTCATGCTCCAGTGGAAACATGTGGTTTTCTTATTGACTGAGAATGACAACTCGTTTGATGAAATCATTGTCATCGAAACTGAGAATGTGTACATCCGGGGTCTAAAAATAAAGACCCCCATAGGAAAATTTATAAACGTTTGATGAACAGTCTCACTGTGTGGACAGACCTTAGACTGATAGTTCACCCAAAAATGAATATTTACTCACTATGTACTAACCCTCATGTGGTTTCAAACCTTTGAGTTTCTTTTTTCAGTTAAACACAAAAGATCTTTTGACAAATGTTAGAAACATTTGACTTCCATTTGGAAAAGCTCTATTGTTTTCAACAGGAGGAGGAAACTTAAACAGCTTTGTGTCAAATTCAAGATGAGTAAATGATTACAGAACTGTCAGTTTTGGCTAAACTGTCCATTTAAGAGGAAGGGTAGAAATCTTTCAGATTTAATTAATAAAATCATTATTGATGTTCAGAAGATGAACTAAAGTCTTGTGAGATCCAATCGAATAAGACTTGAGTAAATTAAGACTGTTTTCATTTTTGGGTGACCTAACAAAATCTGTGTATCTGGTATGAAGTTTACACTCGCCACATCGTGACTTTTATTGACTAGTTTGAACACCAAGGGCCCTATCATACACCTGGCGCAAGGTGCGACGCAATTGTTGTTTGCTAGATTCAGCTTGGTGCAAGAGTCATTTTGCGCTCTTATGTGCACCCGTAGGTGTTCTGGTCTAAAAAATTAGGCGTGTTGCTATTTTGAGAAACTATAATAGACTGTTCTATAGACCAGAACAATTAATCACATTAATCACATTATTTATTATATGTATATTTATATTTGTTTTATTAAAAACAAGCTTAGATTTGTCCACCTGTCAGGTTTTAGACCATATGGGGCACAGAATGTGTATTAAGATATAACTCAGTTTTTTGACCACACTTCCTTATTATTGTTCATTTATTCGTTTGCTGGAAATTAGAACTGAATTTAGAAATAGTTTTGAAACAAATATTTACGCTTAACAAACAAAATGAATTATGTATAGGCTAATGGATGTCTGTGCCTACAACACGCTTCCTTATCCACGAGAGCAAAAGTGAAAGTAAAGAATGAGGAGGCTCATTCTCACCTGTAGATGCTCTGTTTAACTCTTTACTCTCTAGTGAAGCATTCAGTTTTTCCACTTACAAAGTCCGTCATGTAAATAGCAAATGCGCAACACAACTGGCTCTTAAAGGGAATGGGAGATGAGACTCTGATTGGTTTATTCTCAAAACACACCTATAACTCATTAAGAGAATAAGCTCAACCCTGTAAGACCATGCGCCACGGCACAAAGCAGATTTTTCCCTCCTTAAAATAGCAAAAGTGGATTCTGACATGCCCTTTATGCTTTTGCGCCCTGCGCTTTAGGCCTGGATTGTCAAAATAGTGCCCCTGAGGTTCATTGTCATTTTCTTCACACGCAGCGCACACACACACACACACATGAACCGCGAGTTAAACGGAGGAAATAAGTCAGAATCATAAGACATAATCATGAAAAATGTTGACAGAGATTTTGTGTAACTATAATAACAGCGGAGCATTAATTAAATGCATATTTCCTGTGGAGCGATTGATTTGAGGTAGCCTAATATTTTTATTTGATGAAAGAAAAAAAACATGATTGGACAAACAGCAGACCACCAGCCTCCTCCACTGGACCAGCTCCATCTTCTGATCCAAATGTCTTTAAAATAAAGAGTTTGCAGGACTTTCCTTATAACCCAGAAAAAAACAAAAAGAAAAATAAGTGGTAATGGCCTAAATTTCACTTCTAATATTTAGTTTAGCCGTTCAGTTCTTCAGCATTTTATAGCACTTGTTATTTAAGCACTTGTTACTGTTTAGAAGAAAACACTTTATTTGAAATGGAACTTTTAAATAAATGGTGCAAAGCATAATTGTTGAAGAGAGTCTATCTCAGTCTCAGTTTACCAGATTTTTAAACACTTTAAGCTCTTGTTACTTTATTTTTGTTATTATTGTCAATATTTGAAGTCCTTCTGTGCAGTTTCTCTCTAACCCCTCTCCCCACCCCCCCAAAAAAATGCTGAATAGTGCTTTTGTCCATTGTAAAAATGAAGAAGTGTTCCAAAAAAGACTTTCCATCTATATAAATATCTTTATTAAAATAATAATGATAACATATTTCATGTACAAAATCAGAAGTAGGCTATATTCTCAACATTATACTCTTTCTGAAGATAAATTACATAGAGCTACATTGCTAATAAATAAAGATTGACAATCGCTACATTTATACTTACACTTAAAAGGACAGTTCACTCAAAAATTTAAATAGTGTCATCAATTACTAACACTTGAAATTGTTCTAATGTTTAACAACAAAAGATGATAATTTTTTGAATAATGTTGGTTGTCAGACAGTTGCCATTGCCTTCTATAGAGGGCAAAATATTATGGAATTCAGTGGCTACCATACATTGTAATGCTACTTTAAATCATCAAAATATCATCTTTTTTTTTTAACAGAAGAAGGAAATTCAGGTTTGGTATAAGCTTAAGTGTGAGTGGCTGATGACAAATTTAATTTTTGAGTGAAATATAACAAAATAAAAGGAATATAGCACTGTTTGCTTTAATCGTGTAAGTGGTTTCTTTAGATTATTTGACCTTATAGCTGTTTAATGCATGTAATACTCTCTGAGTTTTATAGACCAGTGGTTTTTGCTTCAGTAATCTTTTCGTTTTGTAATAATATGAATGGTCTAACTCGTCCAGTACAAAAATCTTTTGTTGCTTTGTTAGAAGTATTTGTAAATAAAAAAACTTCACAATTTGTCAATAGAAAAGCTGACACATTACCAATAAAACGCTCTCAGTCTTGATTATTTAAACAAAGTGACTGTTCAAACAATATGATGGTACCTGATAAAAAAAGGTCAAAACATTTTTTGATTTTTACATGCTGTAAAAGCCTATCCTTTTCAAGTGAACTTGATGATTAAGGTATCTTACCATATGATTTTTATAAAAGAAAACAAAAGATTATAAATATCAGCATATGAAGCACTGTGTCTTCAAAGATTGCAGCAGAACTAGCTTTGACTATTTTCTGTTGGTTTGGACCTCTGTGTAAATACTGAAGTCTGATCGCTGCACTTCCTTTTTCTTCAGCATTGAAGGTGTGTTCAGGGAGGCGTAACACACTTTTGCTTCACTCTGTGGGAAATCAAGTCATACATGTTTTCTTATTGATCTAAATGCCATAATCTATTAAATTTGTATCAGATATGTAATAATTAGGACACACTGGGATGTATATTTGTATGCAGTACCTCATAATATCCATTCTCAGTCTGTGTTGATGCAGAAACTACAAATAAAATCATCAGAAATTAATTCATTTAAAATCACTTTCTGAAATATAGCAGTGACATTTTTGCTGAAGTTCATTCAAATATTCATTTTATATATATATTTTTTGTTTTAGATTGCATGAGATTTCATTCTGTTTGTGCCATCAGAGTATTCATAGCTGCTGTCTGGAACCTGATAGATCTGGTGGATGAACCGAGTTGAGGAGTAAGTGTTTACCTGTAGTTTTCTTGTGACAGAGGCAGTAGAGACAGACGGAGAAGAGGAGAACACACACCGAACACACACTGAACAGCAGAATAAAGCAGAGCCCACAGTCTGATGCAGGAAATCTGGAGGTGATGTTGATGTTATCTGTGTGTGAAGTCACTGACTCTGAATCAAACAAGCAAAGGTAAATGTCAAAAATATCATCTACATCTTTTTAAAAATATATGCTTAGTTCCTGTTTTTGTTGTTGTTGTTGTTGTTGTTGTTGTTATTATTATTATTATTATTATTATGACATTTTAAGGATATTGTCACTGCATTGGTCTTGGGCATCATTTTTAGCTATTAAATTTATTATTAAAATGTAGTTTTTTACTATTTAAATATGTAAATAATGACTAAAACACTTAACACTTATTAATTATACTTATACAGCTTTAATAATCTATAAATTGTCATAGTAATTGATCATACCACAAAAGCTAAACATTATTTAAAATGATTTTTGAAGAATCGGGTGACATTTTCTAGAGTAATGATATTGAAAATTCTAAAATATATTTAAAAATATATAAACTTAGAAAACAGTTATTTATGGACATGAACATGTAAAACACACACACACACACACACACACACACACACACACGTGTCATATTGTGAATGTTTTGTTTACCAACATTTACATGGAGATTTAAAAAATAATTTGTGTGTGTACTGTATTGTGTGTGTTATTTATTTTTAATTTTTTCCTAATTTTGGTTTAATGCTACCGTACATGCATGTATAAAATCTAACCACGATTTAAATTTAAAACACTATATATGGTTTACATGGTTTAACTATATTTTATAGTTAAACCATGGTAACTGAAAATCAACCGTTGTTTTGTTATGCAAACATTTTTACGATGGTATTTGTAGTAAAGCTGTGGTAATCAATATGCAACAAAACCTGGTTACTACAGTTCTGTATTAAATATGAATATTAAATATTTGTTTAATATTTTGTATGAATACTATTATAAAACCATCATTCATTTTTACAACAAAAATGCATGGTTACTACAACTTTATATTAACAATAATATAAAACGACCCACTGGTGAATACAAATCCTTTTTATTTTATAGTTTTACATATAGTAATCAATACGCAACAAAAAAACATGGTTTCTACACTTTTATATTAAAGATTTCTGTTTCTTATTTTATATTAATACTATTATAAAACCATCATCAATTTTCATGAGGGTCCAAAGTCAAAAAACGTTAATTTTGTATTTTTACAAATGGTGATCAATATGTGAAAAAACATGGTTACTACACTTTTTTATTAAATATTAATATAAAAATATTTATATTTAAATATTTATAGTTTATATTAATACTATTATACACATTTATATGAGGGTACAAATTTAAAAACTACTAGTGAAAATGTAAACTATAAACGGTTAAAGTCAGAATTATAAGCCCCACTTAGCATTTTTTTTCTTTTTTAAATATTTCCCAAATGATGTTTAACAGAGCAAGGAAATTTTCACAGTATGTCTGATCTGGTCTTTCTTCTGGAGAAAGTCTTATTTGTTTTATTTCAGCTAGAATAAAGCAATTTTTTTAAAATAATAAAACGAAAAAACATTTAAGGTAAAATAATTAGCCCCCTTAAGCTATATATTTTTCCGACAGTCTACAGAACAAACCATCATTATACAATAACTTGCCTAATTACCCTAACCTGCCTAGTTAACCTAATTAACCTAGTTAAGCATTTGAATGTCACTTTAAGCTGTATAGAAGTGTCTTGAAAAATATCTAGTCAAATATTATTTACTGTCATCATGGCAAAGATAAAATAAATCAGTTATTAGAAATGAGTTACTAAAACTATTATGTTTAAAAATGTGTTGAAAAAAATCTTCCCTCTGTTAAACAGAATTTGGGGGAAAAATAAACAATACTAATAATTCAGGGGAGCTAAATATATTTATTTATTAATTTCAGTAATATTATCGACTAAAATGAAAATGTTTATGTACAATACAGTTTGTAAAGTAATATTTTTCTATTATATGGAAGACATGCTTTGTTTACCAAATAAGTCAATCTAATAAGATTTGCATTGTAAACATTTAAAGTTCAAAAGTAATTTTTTATTTATTTCATATATTAAGTTTTAGTTAAGATACTCCCAAAATAATTCTTAATTTTACAAAATTCTACGCATAAATAGCCAAAAATGTCTGCAGATTCTGTCCTGCCCTAAATATGACCCACAGTTTCTTCTGTTTACCTAAATTGGCAAAATCAGCAAAAGTAGAAATGCTTTCTTACCGAAGACAGATAGATGCGTTGTCATGTTTCCATTCTGGTACTCAGAATTTGTCTTTACGTTTCTTTCATTAATGGCACAATAATACAATCCTTCATCAGAGACACTGACATTCTTTATATGTAGATCATAAGAGTTACTAGAGCTGTTGAACACTAAACTGAAACGAGGAAGTGTCTCTAAAAACATATTTGAGGGATCTATCACTAGAGATGGCTGATTCTCATGCGAGCAGTTTCTTATCCAAACAATGTGAGATCCAACCAGTACAGCGCAGTCAGAGTAGAGAGTGACGCTTTCTCCTGGGTTAACTCTCATGTTCACTTCTGTCCCGAACACTTTCTGCTCTTCACACAACAAAACACCTAAAGAACAAATGTAAGTTCAAATATGTGAAACAAGACGGTCAGTCCAATCAATACCACGTCATAGCATGAAAGATTTGATTGAAACCTGGACTTACAGAGAAGTGTAACGGCAGAAATCATTGCTCTCTCCATCTCAGACTGACAAGGGTCTTTAGTCTGCGCGTGGTCTAGTTGTGTCTGGTGGGAGGGATTTCTGCTAAAGGACTTTCACATACTTGTAAGTTGGGTTTGTTTGTTTCCTCTTGCTTTGACTGAGGGTGTTTATAAATTCTGATTTGAATTAGCATGGTTGATCATTTCTTGTGACTCACAAAACCTTGCAAACCTTAATGACGTAGGGTTTCATTCTGATAAAAAGTATAGTTGTTTTTATTACAGTCAGCACATCACAGAAGATCATTCAGGGCTCAGTGTTCAGTCAAACTGCAGATGAACTGCTGAATTGATATGTTGGTGACAACATGATTTTAAACAATTTGACTGAAAACCAATAGAGGAATTTTAGAAGCAAAACATTTGATCTGACCATAACAGGAAGCCAATACTGTTATATCCTGTCACACCAGCCATGTTTAAAGCCTCTCTTAAAAAAAGAACACAAAAGCTTCTCTCATAGTGGGACTTTTTTTTGGTTTCAATAAACAGCCTCGCACCACACAGTTTTCCATTTAGGTTTGTCAGCTAAATATACAATGGGGCATTTACATCATATAAAGATTGTGGTTTTCCTGTTTCCGCATGATTAAATTTGATTCGCTTCCCTTTTCTCAGCAAGTTAAAGGTCTGATTGTATATCCTAATGTTTGCTGTCTCTCTTCTTATAATATTAATCGTCTTAAATATTAAGTCTGTACACATATAAACGCTGACTACATTTACATGGACATCAGTAATTGAATTATTTGATTAAGGTGTTTACATGAGTTGCTTTTTCAATGTTCTTTTCATGATCCTATTTTACATGTTATAGCACATAATTAGATTAACGTCATTGTGTCTCCACGCTATCCACATTTCGTCCGGAGTTTTATGTAATTTCAAGTGTATCATTTTTAATTTGTCGACTTTAACTTCAGTTTGGCACTTTCACTTTCATTCAGGAATATTTCATCCATGCCCCCCTGTGACAAACGAGATATTGGATGCGAGTATGAACCGCTGAATAAGTATATTTTTAATGGAATTTTATGGCGCAAGCCGAATGGAAAAAATGTCCGCATTTCGCGATGCATGTGGTCCTTCAATGACTTGGTAGGTGCGAAGAATAGTGTCAAACAGCCGTGTGTGTATAGACTATCCGGTCGCAAAATGCGGTGAAAATCCTACACGACGATAATAGTTTGATTAATGAGCAATCTCACTTGAGTAGCAGTGCGATGTGACTGTATATCAGCACTGGTGGGAGGAGTTTGACCTCTGCCTTAGTGTCCCACCAGTGACGATATACAGCCACATCGCACTACTACTCGTGTAAGATTGCGTTTTTACAACAGTTCAACAGCAAAATCGTGTATATAAAAAAAGAAAATCAAACATGGAGAGTATAAAACCCCTGTTGTATTAGGAACTACTTTCTTCCACCATTCATTCATATCTGGAGCTGACGTCAGAACAGCAGAAACCGTTACTAATTCACCAATATCACTTTAGAGTGAGAGTTTGAATGATTCCATAGTGTAATGTCTAAAATGATGACAAAACAAGTGATTTTGCTGACATTTTAAGATTGTAAGGCTGAATGGCATGAAATGCCATCAGTCTACAGAGATCACTGTATTACAGTCTACACTTTTTCTCAGTTGCAATCAGGAAATCCCAAAAATGAACCCCCCAAAAAAGCAATGCAATTACTAGACTGCTGTTGTGTTTGCGATAAGGGAAAAGCGCTAAACACATCTGGGCATTTCTTCTCTCTTTATGCCAACACAACAAACATTACTCATATGCGAGTCCCATCTCACACTCAATACACTGTAATTATATGGTATAAATACAGCACTACAACATACAAAAGAGAGAGATCGACTTAGAATATCACTTGTCGATTTGATCAGCTGTAGTTAGAAATTACACTGTTTTATCTTTTAAGGGATTATGCGGTCTCTGTCGCCACCTTGTGGATGGACAATATCTGTGGTGTGCTCAATGATAGACTAATGGCCACCGACTCGCTGTGTCTAAGAAAATATAAATATTTAAAATAGCCACTATCCTTATACATAAACTGCATAGATGCAATCTAAACAACTACATTCTTGACTTAAAAGCCTCAAAAGTGCATTATGTTGTCCAACAGCTGCAATATTTGTCAAACTGTAGATCGTCCTCTGTATGTGGGCCGAGTGCTACACAAGGGGGAAGAGGCGGAACGAGTGCTGTCACTGGCAGAATATCGCACGGCTATCAACCAATCAAATTCAAGGACCAGACAGAACTGTTGTATAAAAGTGTTTGTAATGCACTTCAATAATGCCACTAAAATCAGCATACTCCACATCTTAATCCAGTTTAGTTCGATTAGGACTCGAGTCAGATTAAGGTAATCAAAAATCACTCCTGCATCAGAGTATTGTCTTAATCGTATTAAAATTGGATTTTTGGTGAAAGACAATGCCACTTATTACGTTTGTTTGCATAACTTTGGGCAAGTCAGTGAGTAAGTTCACATACTGTTATGCAAACAAATGTAATAAGTAACAATCAATAACAAGCAGTTTGAGTTAAAGGATGTGTTGCCAAACATATAATTAACCAGAAACAGAGTAAACACTGCGAATTAGAGTCAATTGTAACCTCCTTGCTTACTTAAATTTAAACAGTATTTATTTAACCACACACACAAAGTGAAACACATTTTCTGAAACCACTGGAAACAGTTGTGGTTAAAAAACCCACAATATACAATTAACAAGAACTTGTGATCAGAACACTCTGGAAACCCCCATTTTGAAAACATAAAACAAAAACAACTTGAAACTGGTTTTGGAAAATGCAGAATCAGACGTTTGACTGTGCAATTAAATCTCTGAATCTCAGTGGAGCTTTCTAAATGAGTCATGGCCGTCTGACCTGTATCAAACTGAAAAACCAATGTTTGTTTGAATATTATTTTGGGTACATGACATTTAGGATAAAGGTCATGACACTGAAAGGCTTCCTGAATAGACACTTTCACAACACTTGATTCAAAATAGTGGCACAGCAGTCGTTTATCAAACAACAACTAAGAAATAAACTGAAAAAGGAAGTGAATGTTGAGGTTAAAACATCTGCCCATCCAAACAGCATATTGACAAATCAGCTGAAATAAAAAGAGATTTACAGATCTCTTTGTAAACATCTTGTTTATTTGATATTGCTTAAGATAATATGTTTGAGAAATTGTGCAATAATATTCATCGTTTGAAATGTTTAGACAGCTATTGTTATGAATCGTGCAAATCCAGATGCTATTTAGTTCCAGGTTATAAAGTTCTCTTAACCATGGCAATGCACATCAGAAAGGTTAAACATTCAATAAAAATCCAATTATTGTATTTTTTTGACGGAAAACACAGAACAGAAACAAACACAAAATATTTTAAATTACATACATACAGTCACGCCCGAAATTATTCATTCAATTGTAAATAATAGCTGAGAAAGATATATTTTTTCCACAGTGATGCCTCTTGTACATCGTCTTATTAACTTTTGGGAGAAGCCTGTCTAAAGAAAAACTGTGGTTGAATAAAACTAACTTTAGGTCATAATTTCACAGGGTATGTATAATTGCAGGCTTGAATGTATACATAGATATAAAATTCCAAAGAGATTTGTTCTCAATTAATAATATTGCACGCTTGGGGAGGAAAAAATATCAAAAGTGCTACACAGTTAAATCAGACGGACTCCACCACTGAATGAACTGACTGATAAAATAAAATAAAATACTTACACAAGTCAGAAAAGTCTGTGTAAAAGTGTTAAATGTAAGTTAAGTCTGTAAACTACATTCAAGAAAGTAATTGTCAGTGTTTGCATCCAAATAAACTGTAATTTATATAAATACAAATATCCTACTTCATTGAGCTTTACATTTTTGAATGATTACTAGCAAACAAATGCCTAGCTGAAAGTTTGATTACATAAATTACTATCATTGGACACTAAAACATTTTTTTTTTATATTTAATGGCTTTTTTTTTTAAAATATATATACAAATATAGCACAATCAAAACCTGCCATTACATGACTGTACAAACAATCAAATAAATAAATTAAGATTTAAGTAATTTAAGTAATTAAGTTAAGCATGTTACAATTATATGGCACTATAGAATTGGGTTGTTGTGCAGTAGTTAAGTACAGTATTTGTCATAATTTCTTCAAGTTCAAATAAGGTTTATAGTGAATACATGCTTCAGCCTACATTTTTGCAAAATGTAAAATACTTTGCTCATAGTACATTCCATTGCACTTTCAGATGACAAATCCACTAGTGGGCACTGTTTACATTTTTTGCAAATCTGAAATGTATTCAGTAAATTTTATTATACGTTTCAAATACACTTCCTTTTCATACTGTTGAAAGGCAGGGCTTGTCATACAGTTCACCTACACCAGCTAAAAACTAAACTCTCCACTAAACTTAACCAGTAGGGTTTATGCGGAAAGACTTTTAACTTTGCAATAGCCTGGCTCAAGCACTTCCGGTGGACTATATGCAGTTACAAAATCAGCACATTTACGGTCTGTTTTTTTTTTTTTATTGAACTCCAATGTCAGATTGATATATGACATAAAAGGTCTCAGATTGTACAAGAAGCACTGCATTAAAATGAATTTTCGCCTCCCCTTTGAGAGTACATAAAAGAGATTTCTTAAATTAACACAGGATCCTTGTCATTCATTTACATTTTTGTTATAACCTACACTTAAAGACTGCTCTAAGATGATGTGACTGTACTTTTATTTGTTTAACTATTTTTTTTTACATTAATTTCTTGTTACTTTCCATCCCAAGTACACTCTCTGTAATACATTTATACGTTTTGATGTTAATATTTTGTGAATGTGGGCATACAATAAAAAAAAAAAAAACAATTTAAAAAATCAATTTACCCACACCATGTCTTGAAATTATGAACATTTATTTTACTCCAGTATTTTCAATGGTGTTTCTGCGCTCACCTGGGGCCTCATGTACGAAGACTTGCGTGGAAATCTTACTAAAACATTGCGTACGCACAAAGCTGTAAATGTGCGTACGCAGAAAAAAATTCAGATGTATGAAACACTGCGTACGCCGAATCTCACGCATATTCTTTTGTACATCTGAATGAACGTAAAACTGAGCACAACATGCACGAGCGCAAAACTCCTCCCTGCCTCCTCCCCCGTATGAATATGCCAATGACTATGCTAATGGAAAAACCCAACGAAAAAGCAATGGCAAAAGCAAGCAAAAAGAGAAACTTTGAAGAGAATGTGAATTGAAGGTGCTGCTTTCGGTGGTAGACCGGAGAAAAGCGGTGTTATTTGCAAGTTTGTTCTCCGGAATTAACAACAAATGAAAAAAATAGAGTGGGAGAGTTTAGCTGATGCGGTCAACACAGTTGGGTCTGAACATCGCACTTAGTGCATTAAAAAAAAGAAATAGTGTGGTTTATATCTGTAAAATGTTGCAGGACGCTTAACAGTCTCAGTGGCGCTACTCGTAAGACGCATGTGATCATGAATTGATACGTTCAAGCTTGAACTCGGCTCGAATCCAGCGTCTGATGATCTCTTTCTTGTTTTTTCCCCCGCTACATATCAGATTTTGCCAACAATTTATCACAAGAAAGACAAGTAGGAATCATCAATAAGTTTATATCAATAAGCATCATATTTTATTTGCACATTTATTGAATGGAAATGTTTCTGATTCACGCATGCAAATTCATCTTCAGATAGTGTCTTTATAGCAATGTGCGTGCGGTAGATAGCTCAGATTACATTGGGAAAACAGGCGACCGCTGCAAATTGTGCTTTAATGTTTAGCTGGTCAAATGTATGGTATGGAAACCTTATATACCTGCTGAACCCGTCTCATACAGCTGCCATTGCAAGGCTCAGACACTTTGTAGAGAGGAATTTAACACAACTGCCTCTAGGAGTCAACAATGGAAATAAAACAGACACGCACAAAAAATGTGCGTACGCCAGCCAGAAAGCTGCCGTGAAGCTGCGCACATTCCCACATTCAGTTCATTGTTAGTAAATCCAAACGTGAGCGATTCTGAGCGTGAAACCTGGCGTACGCAAAGTTTTTGTGCGTACGCATCGTTGATACATGAGGCCCCTGGTGATCCTGAACAGTTTACACTTGAACAACTAAATTAATGCCGAAGTTTATTTACTGATTGTATTTTAATTACTTTACAACATTGATGCTGTAAAAGGAATCATACAAAACTTAAAAAGTCACACTAACAGTTCACTGGAAACACTAGCTGTGCATGTACCCTATAGTGGTTTCAAAAGCAAACGTATCAGAAAGGTGCATGGGGCCATGTTATACCTTGATTTCACATTGTTTTCGTCTTTTTGGTAGAAACATGCTTTACCAGACTCAAAACTAAGCAGCACAAGTACAACACTATACAAAGTGAGTTACAGAGCAAACTGATCACATCAAAAACGTTGTCAATATGAAGATAAACAGGCGAGGCAATTGTTTTTTGATTACCATTTCATAATTCATACATCATTATGGTTTTTGTGGTGTTTATCTGGCATTGTCCAAAAATGGCACAAATATAATCCTTTATTTGTACAGTATGGAAATAATCCAATTTGTTGGCATCATACTGCCTGGCAGTGTTCTTTTTAACTGCAGTCAAATGTCTGTTTAATTACATCTTTAGTTTCACAAAAATGTAGGCTGAAGCACATAGTTCCAATGAGCCAGTGTTGTTTCTCTACCTTAAAATCATTCAATAGTGTCTTATTTAGATTACTGGACTGAGCATGTACACCCTTTAAAATAGGTTCTCTACTGGCACATATGGTTCCGGGATGGAACTTTCCACAGACAAAATGTTTTTTTTTTTTTTTTATCAAGGAAAAGTGTTGTTCAGATTTGTAAAATGAGCAAGTGTTACATGAAACATTCCTTGGATAGCACATAATTCACCTGTGGTATTACTTTAAAAACACTGGAACCGTATACTGGTTTATATGAATCCAATCCAAAATGGAGTTCTGCTGTATTGTTTTACCAGACTGCATTAAACAGGCTATTTTATGATTCTTATAAAATCCAGCAGATTCTTTTTTTTTTTTTTTTTTTGAGAACATCTAAATACAAGGCAGGTCAATGAGGCTGATTTCTAAGACAGTTTTCTAAGATCTTCAGACATTTTAATAGTGACTAAATTCCTACTTGTTGACCTTCATGAGTCTTTATCCTTCTCCTTTTTCTTCTTAAACAAACTCTTGAGCTTAGAGGTTTTCTTGCCTTTTTCTTTTCCGCCAGATTCTGAAGATGACGAATGGGCTGATTGTCCTTCATTTCCCACAAGACTTTGAATAGAGCTAGAAACTGATGCAGCGTGACTGAGATCGCCAGGACTAGACATAAGAGGGCTTTCATAGGACTTTTCCAGAATCCCATCATACACTAGTGTGCTGATCGAATCCAATTGTGGTTTGCAGAGCATCAAAGAACTGGCGGTGAGGTCAGGAGGGCCAAACTGTCCTGGGTTTGTAACAACAAACTCCTCCTGCGATATCTTGCGCCTTGGAGCCTCCACAGACAGACCCATGAGCTCTCTCTGTATTTTACTAATTGGAGTTTCCAGAGAGCTGTCTAATTTCTGCTGAATCCGTTGTGTCTCCATCGCGACCTCTTGCTCATCCCGGAAGAGTTTTTTTGATGGAATTTCCATCCGGATATCCCTGCTCTCTTTTAAGGACTTGCTTCTATCAAACTCTTCTCTCAGTATGTTCCTCGAAGCAGTCTCCATCGCAATGTCTCTCATTTTTAGTCTTTCCAAATCTGCTGACGCATCGAATTCATCTTGAGCCATCATCCGTGAAGGGATGTCTTTGGATAGGTCTGCTCTGGCTAACGTCTTCAATTTCTTCGAGCTTTCCACTGAACTATCAAAGTTGGAATCAAAGGAGTTTTCCCTAAACATTCTTCCTCGCTGGATGTTACTTGCAAAGTCCAGGTTTTCTTTGTGTTTAATGGATGTGTTGAGTAAGGCATCTGCATATCTAGATCCAGTTGTGGCATCTATATCAAACTCTGCTTTTGGTATAACTCTAGAAATGCTGTCCATGTGATCTTTTCTCTCTCTGATCGATCGTTGTCTTTGACTGTCCATGCTGATGGCAACTGGAGACATCTTTTCTGTAGAGTAGTACCTCACTGTCGAATCTAAAGACAGATCTCTGGGTAATTTCCTTGAATCAAAGCAAATCTCGGTTTCTCCTCTAAACAGTTGTTTAGGAGGCTCGTCTAATTCTTCTCTAGATGTCTTTCTTGATGGAGTATTGATGTCCAGTTCCTCTCGTGATGCTTTCCTTGAGGTGGTCACCATCAAAGACTCGTCCATCTCCTCCTGAGAAGTTTTGCGTGAGGAAGTGTCCTCTTGTTCATCCAGGGAGATCTTTCGAGGCATTTTATCAGAGAAAATGTATTTTCTTCGTGGTGGGACGTCAAGGGTGCTGTACTTTCGGCTAATGGAGGACCCGATGGACTCTGTATCTGAAGATGTTTCCATTGACTCCCTGTTAGAGAAAGAGAAGCTCTTAAGCTTGTCATCATTACAAGCATCATTCCAAACCCAATAACTATCAATCAGCATTAGTTTAGTAGACTAACATTTTTCCATGCTCTTGAAATTCTATATTCATGAGTTGAAATTCTTGATTCTGATTTGCTGGAAGGTGTGCAATAACATTGTATGATGCACAGGTAGTTTCTGTCAGCTTTAATCACAGTTTGAAATGGACGCGCTTCCCTTAAACATTAGTAGTAACCACAGTAACAATTGGCAGAGCCTTCATTATTCTCTGTAATCTTGTAAACACAGACGTGTACTTCAACAGGAAGCCGATGGGGATTAACCAACTCTCAAATATTTGTGAAGTGGTAGCCACACTATGAGTTATTAAATACACTCACCAGCCACTTTATTAGGTACACCTGTCTAACTGCTGGTTAACGTAAATTTCAGCCAATCACATGGCAGCAACTCAATGCATTTAGGCATGTAGACATGGTCAAGACGATCTGCTGCAGGTCAAGCCAAGCATCAGAATAGGGAAGAAAGGTGATTTAAGTGAAACTGTTTATCTACTGGGATTTTCACACACAACCATCTCTAGGGTTTACAGAGTATGGTAAAAAAAAAAGAAAAAATATGGAGTAAGTGGCAGTTCTGTGAGCACAAATGCCTTGTTGATGCCAGTGGTCAGGAGAATGGCCGGACTGGTTCTAGCTGATAGAAAGGCAACAGTAACTCAAATAACCACTCATTACAACCGAGGTATGCAAAGGAGCATCTCTGAACACGTCCAACCTTGAGGCAGATGGGCTACAGCAGCGGAAGACCACACCGGGTCTCACTCTTGTCAGCTAAGAACAAGAAACTGAGGCTACAATTCGCACAGGCTCACCAAAATTGGACAATAGAATATTGGAAAAATGTTGCCTGGTATTATAAGTCTCGATTTAGGCTATGACATTGAAATGGTAGAGTCAGAATTTGGCGTCAACAATATGAAAGCATGGATCCATCCTGCCCTGTATCAACAGTTCAGGCTTTTGGTGGTGGTGTAATGGTTTGGGGGATATTTTCTTGGAGAACTACGGGCACATTAGTACCAATTGAGCATCGTGTCAACGCCGCAGCCTACCTGAATATTGTTGCTGACCATGTCCATCCCTTTAAGACCACACTGTACCCATCTTTTGATGGCTACATCTCCAGCACAATAACAAGCCATGTTATAAAGCCCGAATCATCTCTGACTGATGTCTTGAACATGACAATGATTTCACTATATTTAAATGGCCTCCACAGTCACCAGATCTCAATCCAATAGAGCACCTTTGGTATGTGGTGGAACGGGAGATTCACATCATGGATGTGCAGCCAACAACTCCACAACAACTGCGTGATGCTATCATGTCAATATAAACCAAAATCTCAGAGGAATATTTTAAGTTCCTTGTTGATTCTATGCCATGAAGGATTAAAGCAGTTCTGAAGGCAAAAGGGGGTCCAACACGGTACTAGTAAGGTGTTCCTGATAAAGTGGCTAGTGAGTGTATACCTGTGTCATGTACATGCACACACCCTCTGCATCTGACTCCACTGGCCTCTTACTGATTCAAAGTGGGGAGATTTAACTTTTAATAACTGAATATTTTGTCAAATTTTGTACTTTCAAGAGCAATACTAGTTTTACCTTGTCTAAACCTTGTCTAAAAATGTGAGCAATATGAACAATAAATTTATTAGTTAATCCTTATTTTAACAATGCAAATCTAAAGGATATATTCCAGGCTGACGTACTGTTTCACAATAGGGGTGTATTTGATATGTCCTTCTTCATCATCTCCATATCGGCTTTGTGGAGATCGTATGGGTATCAGGAGGTCTGGGTCAGGTGATACAATGACAGGAGATGGCACCATATGCCCAGATCGACGGGAGCGAACCAGAGACCGTGGAGAACACTTCAAAGGTGCAACTGTGACTGTAAATCAAATATATAAATAATTAATAGTGGTTTTACATACAGGCAGGGTTTCTGCAAGTTTCATAGTCAAATTTAAGACTTTTAAAGACCATTATGAATGACATATAAGACTTGTATGGGGATAAACACTATAAGGATTTATTTTCTAATGGAAAAGGAAAAGATTTTTACTATTCTCATCAAAGAAATTCTAATTTACTTATTTCTTAGCCATATATTTTAAATATGTGTATGCATAAAAACAAGCAAACTCTGGTTTCATAGATGCACTTTTTTTTAACATGGCATTTCTTTAAAAAAAAAAAGATAAGTCTCTTCAGGTCAGTGTCCCCACCATAAATGAATTACTTTTAAATGAATGTTATTGTAAAGAAGCTAATTAAACTACATTGGTAAAAAGAATTAAACTATTGGATTGTTGGTGATTGAATGATTTTGGGCGTAAATGAGTAGCTTTTTATTGACAGGAAAATTAAGACCTGTTTATAATGATTTAAGACCTACAACACAATATTTCAGTAAATTTAATACTTTTTAAGACCCTACGAACACCCTGACAGGTGACAATGTGGTCAAAATAATTCCTGTTCATATGATTTGTAAAAATGACTAAAGCGCTGTATTAAGTATGCTAGTAGGCCAATAGATCGATCTTACTTTGTTAAGAAATACCAAATGCCTGTGCTACTCTAATGTTCAATTGTTTTGTTTTTAGTTTATCATGAACACACAGGATAACACCATTTTCTCAAATTTGCATTTGTGTTGTTTACAATAATGTTGTGGTACCATTTTTTTTTTCAGTTCCAGTTTGTAGGATCCTAATGCTGCGTTCACACCAGCCACAGATGAAGCTTTAAGCGGAAGTGATTTACATGTTTAAAAGTCGATGCAAATCGTGCAAATGACAAGGTGTGAGTTAAACGTTTCGTTCAAATGATGCGCCACAAGTTCAGCGTATTGTGAGTATTGCTCGAGTTGGAAAATCTTAACTTTAGGGAACATTTGCGTCGCATTAACCAATCAGGAGCTTTCTCTTGTAGGGGCGTGATTATGACGAAGTGCTTAGCTGGGCTCGACTCAGTCTGAAGCACCGCTGAAAGCCTCCATCATCCGGTTTCTGGAGGGGTTGATCAACTCACAGAGCTGGGTGAAACTCTGAAAGGATCTAGTGCATTGAGACATGGCGCCGAACAAATATACGCTGTTCTTCAGTATTCCTAAAGCACTTAAAGCACAGCTACTCTCAATAAAATCCATGTTAGCCATTTAGCAACAAAGCCAGAGTCACCAGGTAGACAGAAGCCCTGCCCATGACGCCAATCCGGGTCTATTGTGAAGTAAATTTGACGCACGAAAGAACGACAAATATTTAAACAATCGAAAGTAGGAAAATGCTTTTAAATAAGAATAAAAAGTATGTACCTACCAGGAATCTGTGGTATAATCTGTGGCATTTCCTCCTCCATGTCCTCCACTGAAACAGGCACTTGGTAGGACTGCAGTGCAGCTCGAGGCATGAGCATCCAGTTGGGGTCTGGGTAGAGTGTAGCGGTGAGATTTGGCAGACCTGCATTTTTCATCAGAGGAAAACCACACAAGCTCTCAATCTGCTGCCAGCGGTGCAGACGCTCCCGTAGACACGCAGTCACCTCTGCGAGAGCATTCCTTTAACAAAATGCAGATGCAGATCAGTGTAATCTAATACTAAAGGTACCGTATGATCTTATTTGTCACATTTCAGCAAGATTTTATGGGTAAAAAAATTATTGTAATTTGTCTCAAGCCTTGTTTACACCTGGTATTAAAATGCGTTTGTCAATTCAATCATAAGTGGATGATGATAAATACAGGCTTACTTTTAAACCCATCCAGAGGTATTCAAAAACCCATTCAATCAGATTGTTTTCATTGTTTTAAACAGTCATGTGGTCAAATCTATTTAATCAGCAACAAAACTCCTACCAAGGGAACACATTACCATTATGGGACATATGTTGACAGCAAGCTCAATAACTTTTTAACTTTTTTTAAATCTCTAGATTTAACCACAATGATAAATATGACCACACCATAAGCGTACTCAAGATTCCAACATTAATTTTGAAACATGAATTTTAGCATAGGAGCACTTGCCCCAGAAATGGTAGGCATTTTATTAATTTCATTGTATTAGAAAATATCAAAAAAGGGGCATTTAAGTAGCATAATAAGTTTTAAATGAGAGTAAACAAGTTACTTGGCCTCCAGAATTCTCTGGTCCACTTGATCCAGCGAGGAGCTGTGTGCAACATGTAGGGTACCTAACACTGAACTCCTTTTCTTCTTGATCTTCTCTGCCTGTGCAAAAAATATCCAATAATGTCATGTAAAATGCTTCAAGGACAGCTAAGGCATACTTGTCAACCCTACCATGTTTCCTGGGATTCTCCTGTATTTTACAATTCTATCCCTCTTTCATCCAGTCAAGATATTTTTGATCTTTCTTTGAACAATGTCAACAAACATCAAAGAGCTGACCCTCCCTTTATGCAACTCTTACCGCTGAACCCCCAGGGGACACCCCCTGCTTTTAAATGTGAATCTGTTCAGTGCTTTCATTTTATTTAGACATGACTCATTTTGGGTGCCTGTTTGAATAGACATGTACACACATTATCTTTATTATCATTATTATTATTTTTATTAGTATTAACAACAACATCTAAACATGTTGATCGTGCAAATTTTGTCTTAAATGAGCATAATAAGTTAGTAAAGCAATTGAATGGGGGGGGGTGTATTCCTTATTTTCACATCCCAATGTTGACAGGTATGAGCTAATGGTTCATTCAGATTCTAAACCCAACAACCTGAAAATATTTGCTGTATTTAATTGCATGTTTGATTGCGTCGCCTCACAGCAAGAAGGTCGCTGGGTCGCTGGTTCGAACCTCAGCTCAGTTGGCGTTTCAGTGTGGAGTTTGCATGTTCTCCCTGCCTTTGCGTGGTTTCCTCTGGGTGCTCTGGTTTCCCCCACAGTCCAAAGACATGCGGTACAGGTTAATTGGGTAGACTAAATTGTCCGTAGTGTATGAGTGTGTGTGTGTGTGAATGTGTGTGGATGTTTCCCATAGATAGGTTGCGGCTGGAAGGGCATCCTCTGCATAAAAACTTGCTGGATAAGTTGGCGGTTCATTCCGCTGTGGCGACCCTTGATTAATAAAGGGATTAAGCCGAAAAGAAAATGAATGAATGAATGAATGAATGATCTAATACCTCATCTTTAGCTGTGATGAGTTGTTGTTCTGCACTTTGCTTCTTGACGTTGTAGTACTGAACCTCCACCTCATGGGTGAGCTGTAGCCACAGCTGCAAGGATTCAGGAACTGACCAAAGGGTCTGCATATCTTTCTCTGCCCTCTTCAGTGCACCGCGCACCTGTACCAGGAGCACAGAGAACCATGATGTAGTAGTGTTGTTGGGAGGTGTTTTTCAGGAAGAATGGCAGAGCTTTACCTGTTCGAGCTCCTCCTCCGCATACCACAGACGGCTGAGTTCAGTCACAGCTCCATCTCGCAGTCTGTGCAGACGGTTTGCTTCTTCCTGAGCTCCCTGAATCTCATCCCTCATCTTTTCCTCCAGATTCTTCTTCTCTACCGTCACTGTGCGCTTCTCCTCCTGGGCCTTTTCCAACCTTTCATAAACACAAAATCCATTATTTATTTAGTATACAGCACTGAATAAAATTTCTAAGTAATATTTATCTGGCACTGAATAATGAATTTTATTTTTAAAAAATACTATATACAGCTACAGAAATAAACATGAGACAACTTTAAAATTCTTAATTTTTACTGACCCACCCTGTAGATATACAAATAGATATAGGTAGATATATACATAGAGATGGATAGATATAAATACATAGATATAGATGGACATACATAGATGTGTGTGTGTGTATAGAGAGAGAGAGAAAGAGATAGATAGATAGATAGATAGATAGATAGATAGATAGATAGATAGATAGATAGATAGATAGATAGATAGATAGATAGATAGATAGATAGATAGATAGATAGATAGATAGATAGATAGATAGATAGATAGATAGATAGATAGATATACTGACAGATGGATGGATGGGCGGGCAGGCAGATGGATGGATGGATGGATGGATGGATGGATGGATGGATGGATGGATGGATGGATAGATAGACAGACAGACAGACAGACAGACAGACAGACAGACAGACAGACAGACAGACGGATGGATGGGCGGGCAGGCAGATAGATGGATGAATAGATAGATAGATAGATAGATAGATAGATAGATAGATAGATAGATAGATAGATAGATAGATAGATAGATAGATAGATAGATAGATAGATAGATAGATAGATAGATAGATAGATAGATAGAATTATTACAATTAAAAAATACAAAATAGTCTCAAATAAACCTCTTTATTAATTTAATATTATTTTCAAATGTAATTCTTTAACTTTAGAAAGGGATTAGAAACCAATCATGGTTACTTATGAATTTTGCTTCACTGTATCAGGCGCATTGTATCCTATGATTTTAAATGAACACTAAATAGTTTATGGGTCTAGGCTGTGTACTACTCACTGCTCCTGTAAATCTCTGAGGCTTTGTTCAGCTCTCTGCAAGCTTTCCAGATCCTTCATCATCTTTGAAATGTGCACCTTAGATGATTTACTCTGTACATGTGCAAACCAGCAGCCACCAATTCCCATTACTATAGACACAATCAGAAGAACATCCTTCAACCAGTTGTGTGGGGGTCCTGAAGCAAAGAGAATTGTGATGTTATTCACACAATCAAACATTACGGCTCTTGCTCAACATTTTTAAAACACTGTTTGGCAGTGTGCTTTCAATGGGCGTGCATGGATATATGATTTCACATGTGCTCAAATGATACACATCAGTCAGAGCTATATTTAATGGTGACATTTAAAAAGTCATGACTGTTTCCAACAGAATTCATGACACTGTGACTTTAAATGAAGGCATTTTAAGATCCAAGTGTGTACATACGTATAGGTGGACCAAACAGAACTACATCCAGGGCTTTGAGCTTGAGTTTTTGTTTGTGTTGCTGGTCCTGGATCTTCAGATAGCTGCTCATGAATGATGGCTCATTGGAAGCAATTCTGCAGATAAAAGAAAGAAATTCATATTATTAATAAATAATATCATTTAATCATATTAAATAATGCTATATATATATATATATATATATATATATATATATATATATATATATATATATATATATATATATATAATTTGTATATTTTTACATTTTATAATGAACTTATTACAATAAAAACATAATTCTTTTTTAACACAATGCAGGTCATACACTATTAAAGCTGCACCAGCCTCTCCCGATATCTTCTGCATTGTCTTCTATTCATTAGTGACTGTATTTTTTTAAATCTGATTCATTTACAACATCTAATTGTTACATTTTACTTTATTTCATTTAGCTTTTTCTGTAGCCCATCAATAGTCAAACTACCACAAAAAAAAAAAAAAAAAAAAAAAAAAACGACACCTCTTCTTAGATGGGATGGTGGGCAAAATTAAAAGTTACCAAGAGTCAACTTTGCCCTGCGGCCCTAATTTGGGCATCCCTGAATTAGAGCCATTTATATATGAACTAGAATGTGATTCGAAAAATATTTATATATGTAATCTATTGATATAGGACTCATTCATTCATTTTCCTTCAGCTTAGTCTCTTTATACATTTGGGGTCGCCACAGCAGAACGAACCACCAACTTATCCAGCATATGTTTTACACAGCGGATGCCCTTCCAGCTGCATTCCAATACTGGAAAAACTTCCACACACATTCATTTACACACATACACTAGGGACAATTTAGTTTATTCAATTCACCTATACTGTATGTCTTTAGACTTGAGGGGAACCCGTAGCACCCGGAGGAAACCCAAGTCAACATGGGCAGAACATGCAAACTCCACACAGAAATGTAAACTGACCCAGCTGGAACTCAAACCAGTGAGCTTTTTGCTTTGAGTTGACAGTGCTAACCACTAAGCTACCATGTTGCCTCACTTAGGACTATTGCATTCATTCATTCATTTTCTTTTTGGCTTAGTCCCTTTATTAATCTGGGGTGGCCACAGGGGAATGAACCGCCAACTTATCTGGTATGTGTTTTATGCAGCGGATGCCGCAACCCACCACTGAGAAACATGCCAACTGACCCAGCCAGGACTTGAACCAGCAACCTTTTTGCTGTGGGGCAATTGTGCTAACCACTGCGCCACTGTGCAGCCAACACTATTATATATTCATTAATTCATTCAATCACTTTCATCTGCTTTTCCGGGGCCGGGTTGTGGGGGCAGCAGTCTTAGGAGAAAACTCCAGACTTCCCTCACCCCAGACACTTCATCCAGCTCCTCTGTGGGGATCCAGAGGAGTTCGCAGGCTAGCTGAAAGACATCTCCTCCTGGTGGGACATGCCTGGAACACCACCCTGGGCAGGCATCCAGGAAGCATCCGAAACAGATGCCCAAGCCGCCTCAGCTGACTTTTCTCGATGTGGAAGAGCTGAATTTGCATTTGAATCAGTCTTGATTTGTTTTACCTGGGCAAAGTGTTTCCACTGACACGCAGCTCTTTGAAGCTCTTTTCATACTGAGGCAACTCCACAAACTCTCTTAGCCACTGTAATACATCCTCCTGTGTCCAGTTATGAACTGACAGAGACAACGAAAGCATTAAAAGAGGGCAAGAAAGTGACTATTTTACATTGAGAACATGCTGAGACACAATCAAGGGGAACTTTTTACCTTCAGAAGATTTCCAGCTCCTCCAAAGCTCCTCTAAAGTGATATGCTGGTCCTCGTGATGGAGTTTACTATGCTTGTTTGCCTGTTGCTGCTGCTGCATGTCTTCAATGATGAACTACAATACCCAAGCAAAGAAACAACATGTAACTTCAGATTAAATTACGAGAAAACCACCCAACACCAACCCAACAAATGCACTCACACACATTTCAAACAACAGCTGAGTAAACACTCAGGTCAAACAGCTCAAGTGTCTGAGAATGTGTCTAGCCCATCTAGAAATCGGATACAGGGATATATATGCAAATTACATAAATGACATGTAAGTTCATAATTGGATTTGACATATATAAAATGTCATATATGTAATGTATATTTCAAAATATTGCAAAAATGGCTGCTTGTGTATATTTTTTTCCAACCACTGGAATTACAAATGTATGTATGTATTCATGTATAACATTATAGCTAATATATTCGAACAGATACAGCTTAAGTCAGAATTAAGGTAATAATTTTGACTTTAACTGTATGTACATATTTAAAATTCCAATGGTTAAAATAAATAAATATATATATATATATATATATATATATATATATATATATATATATATATATATATATATATATATATATATATATATATATATATATATACATATATATGTCTCTTTCATATATATATTTCATATATACATGAAAGAGACAATTTTTTAATATTTACTAATAAATATTGCATATATGACATCATTTATATATGTGGAACCCAAATATGAACACATTTAGGCCATGTATTGAATGTAATATATCAGATTTCTATGTGTCTGTTGCATTCAGATGCACCACATTATTTCAGACATTTTCACTGCTACAATCCTCATAAGCCATACTGATAGCAACGAGGAAAAGAAACCCAATGCCAGAGACATGGACGTACTTGAGGACATTACTGAGAAACTCATCCTCCTCTGCTATGTTCTCTTAGTGCCAGGGTTGTACAGTGTGTCTTAGGTGCTGGATGGAAACATGTGTTTCTAAATTGACCAACAGGCTTGAGAGAGGAACTCAAGGGTGCTCTAACACACTTACACAAACGTCACACACGCATAGCAAAATGGTAAAGCTCAGCTCGTTAGTCCGAGTAGACGTAGAAGTGACTTTGCAGCAATTATGTTTGTGCTGTTCCACCTGTTTGAATTAGTAGCAAGGAAATTTAATTACAGAGACAAAGCCCCTGTTTTCACCTGGTATTAACAAGCATTCAGATGTGATCACTTGTGTTCAGATTTCATCTTCATCATTTTTGCGAGAATACAAGTACAATTGGGTTAGCGAACCCATGTTAAACGGATAGTTCACCCAAAATCATCATTTACTCTTCACTTGTTCCAAACCTGTAGGAGTTTCTTTATAAACTCTTTTTAAAATATTTTGAAATCTGAAATCCTGAAACCATTGACTTCCATAGTGTTTGTTTTTCCTACGATGGAAGTCAATGGATACAGGTTTATAGCTTTCTTTAGGATATCTAAATTTGTGTTCAACAGGAAAAAAAGAAATGTGTAAAGGTTTAAAACCACTTGAGGGTGAGTTAGGCCCAATTCCATTTTTACCCTGTAGCCCAGGAGTGTCTAAATTGAGCACTAGAGGGCCGGTGTCTGCAGATTTTAGCTCCAACTTGCCTCAACACACCTGCAAGGATGTTGCTAGAAAGCCAAGTAAGAGCTTGATTAGCTAGTCCACGTTTGTCTGATTGGGGTTGGAACTAAACTATACAGGACACCGGCCCTCCAGGACTGAGATGGACATGCCTGCTCTAGCCTTTTCCTTTACCCCTACTCCTCATTTTGCGCATTCATGTGAAGGGGTAGGGGTGTCCCAATTCTCTTAAGCTCAGGGCCGGAGTGGGACTCCTTTTCAGCCCTGGAGTTTCAAGCCTCAGACCGGCCCACCTCAGTTCACGACTGACTATATTAAAATAAGGCCATTTCCAATGACACTATCACGTCTTTTTTTGGGAAAACAGCTGCTTTAGAACTTCACATGTTCAACAACCCTAACAGTATTATATGTCTTAACAATAAATATGAAAAAAAGAAATTACTTAGACGAGGATCGAACCCCGGTCTGCAGCATCGTAAACTAACATGCTATCCACTGAACCACAACAGCTGTTCATTGAGTGGTGGCTGCATCTTGCTCACAGCTGCGAGAAAATAGATAAAAAGAGTAGAGCTGCGGTAAAATAATGAATAAAAAGGCTGTGGTCAAGTAAATAAATTTAAAAAGTGTGACTTCTGAGAGCAACAGATTATGGAGCTAGGGATACCGGCCCTCGCGGGCAAAAAACAGACCGGCCCACCAGGAATTCTCCCGGTCCTCCCGATTAGCCAATCCGGGCCTGCTTAAGCTTGAAGGTGTAGGTCTAAGGCAGGGGTGGGCAAGCTCGGCTCTGAAGGGCCGATGTCCTGCACAGTTTAGCTCCAACTCAAATCACACACACCTGCTTATAGATTTCCAGTCATCTTGAAGATACTGATTAGCATATTCAGTTGTGTTTGATTAGTGTTGGAGCTAAACTATGCAGGACACCGGCCCTCCAGGACCGATTTTGCCCACCCCTGGTCAAAAGGGAAAGGCTAGATATCCCTTAAAACAGAGTTTTTCCAGGACCACACTAGAAATTAAGGGGTAGGAAAAATTACTCTTAACACATTATCTACAATGGCAGCATGGCGGCACACGTCAGGAGATGCACAGATTATTATTTTTTTTTTGGCAATATTAAGAATTTTTACAACAGACTAGCATATGTTTTAATATATTCATAACAGCGTTCGAGTTTTAAGGTCATGCTATAAAAATTATAGATAAAATTCGCTATCTATAATCCATAATAATAACTCCTCTATAATAGTCTAACAACATACTTTCACATCTGTCACTCGATGACACTCAAATACCCTGTCAGAAAAGTCTAGTGGCCGGGAATAACCTTTTTACAGTGTCTGGTATAATGTTAATGTTGTTTTCTTGTGTTCACATAGATGAATATGGCCACAATGTAAATGCACAGTACAGTTATGAGCTTGTTGCCACACTATGTCGTTATGATAACATGATATCGTTACCTTCACTGATTTCCTGAAAAATAAATTCCAAAAAAGAGAAAGCAACTGGAATAACTTCAGCACGCGCAATCATCGATCTCATATGAAGCAAGAGCTTGCGATGACATATGATGATGTGTGCAGGTGTTATAGTGCTGTCCCATTTCTTATGGGTACATTTGAATCCCTTCCCTTCACGCTCTGTTTCAAAGGCCAAGGGGAAAGAGTAAAAAAACAGAATTGGGATTGGGCCTAAACAGTGAGTAAAATTTTATTTTTGGGTCAACTATCACTTTAAGCTGCTTACTGGTGAGTTAGGAAACAAGTCAATTAAAAGAATGTGGATGGCAACAAAAATTTTAATGGAAACTGGGCATATTAGTGCCACACAGCTACGAAGAGATTGTTTTTTTTTTGTTTACACTATGAAAAGAAAGTAATCAAAAATGTTTTTGACTAGCTTTGACACCTCTTTCTTTGTTAAATCTTTATATTAGTTATAAATATGGCCAAATATATGCACGTAGTTGCGGAATACCAAAACAACGTTTTTTCTTGGTAACCTTTTATTATATGAATTGGAAAATGTTCCAGGTTTGCAGACTCTGATTAAAGTGTTCTGTTATATCAATATATAAAACTTTAATTTAAACTAAATTAAAATATATATATATTTTTTATCTAATCATTTACTGTAAAATGAAAAATGTATTTTAAAAAATCTTATAATTCTTCTATGTTAGACTTCAACTGTAAAATACCATCACTATAATTTATGGCTGTATTTATAAATGTTTAAATGCTTCATCTTAAAAATATGCTATGCATACATATTTAATTGATTAAATTGTAGCCTTTGTGATTTGATTAGGAATTCAGTTTTACTAAATGTACTGCGGGGCATCACGATGGTGCAGTTGGTAGCACGATCGTCTCACAGCATAATGGGAGCTGGTTCAAGCACTGGCTGGGTCAGTTGGCTTTACTGTGTGGAGTTTGCATGTTCTCCTCGTGTTGGCATGGAATTGAATAAACTAAATGTCTGCAGTGTATGTGGGTGAATGCAGTGAGTGTATGGTTGTTTTCCAGTGTTGGATTGCGGCTGAAAGGGCATCCGCTACAAAAACATATGCTGGAGAAGTTAGCGGTTCATTTTGTTGTGGCAAACCCGGATTAATAAAGGGACTAACCCGAAGGAAAATGGAATGTACAGCGCTAGTTTCAAGGCTTGAAAAGTAAATAAACACTCTATACACATTTACCTTTTTTAAATGATAAGAAGCTATAAAATATCTTAGGTAGAAACTGCGCTTTCTTTAGACATTTGACTGTGAATGTGATGGAAATGGACCGTTCTGAAGGTGTGGAAACCCTGCTGCATTCACACTGGGGTGTGAGGAAACAGCTTTTTTACTTGTAATTGCATCATCTGCCATGGCTGATTACCTCCACACTCTCCTCCACCTCAATGCCTCCATCCTGATCATCATCCATCTCTCTGTGGATGTGCTGAAGGGCCTCCAGGCTGAATCGATCCGCCTCCGTAATACATGGAGGACTCATTTGTAGACATGTATCTATGGTGAAAACATGACAGAGGAGTTGAGCAATACATTTACAAATAACATTTAGTTACAGTTTCACTGTGAGAACTCTACTACTGGAGTGGAACATCAACACTGGGATCACTTTATAATCTTCAATAGATGTCAATTAGTGAAAAATCTTACTGAAGTAACCAATTTACCAATGGGTTCAGATTAGCAACATATCAAAGCCAACAAATTCGTCCTTGACAAATTGAGCAGAACAATAGTACTGTAATTGCATTATGTACTTTGACAGTAAATTGTTTAATTTGTGTTTGCTTTTAATCTTCTGAGCTTTTTAGACTGACTGTCATTGGTAACACTTTACATTGCAGTGTTAAAATTACATGCTTAATGTGAATGTGGTTATTTACAACAATAATAACTGCATAAAAGGAGCAGATTTATAAAATAACTATATATTATTCAATGCAAATCTACCTAAAACAAAAATATTAATATAATTAATAATATTAATTTTAAAACATGGTTACTAGAAGTAGGTCAAAGTCGGACAGTTTTTCCAGCATTGAAACGTTTTTTTTTTTACTTTTATTAGTATTTATATTTAATTGTTAACTTTATATATGTATATATGTATATATATATATATAATATATATATATATATATATATATATATATATATATATATATATATATATATATATATATATATATATATATAATGTATCCATTTATTTGTAACTGAGAAATATAGATATCTATCATAGCTTTTTACTGTGATTCAAAATAAAATAAATAAATTTAAAAAGCCATTTTGTGTAGCTATGGTGCATATCTTATATTTACAAGAAACAAAACTGACGATGACTGGTGACATTAACTCTTCGCACAATACTTATTAGTATGTCATTTAAAAAAATATATATATCTATTGGTAAATTATGATTTAAAAAATGTACTAATTGTTTTAATATTATACAAATTTACACTTTGCCTGCATAAAATATGCTTTATTTATAAAACAAAAACGGTTACACTTTACTATAAGGTTCCATTAGTTAATGTTAATGTATTTATTAACAAGAACAAACAATGAACAATACATTTATTACAGTATTTGTTCATGTTAGTTAATAAAAATACAAGTTCATGCATTTGGATGTTAATAACGCATTAGTAAATGTTGAACTATGATTAAATGCTGTACAAGTATTGTTCAGTAATATAAGTTAATGTTAGTAAATACATTAACTAAGGAAACTTTTGTAAAGTGTGACTACAAAAACACTTTTATAAGCTTAATTTGATGTGGCCGCCAAAATTACACATCTCTGACTCTAAAGGAAGTTTTGCATCATCAACACCATCATGAATATGAGTTTTTTTTGCCTCATTCACACATGCCTATGGGGGTCACAGTGGTGTCTCTGTTGAGTCCGGGCTGCTGCTGTGCTTGATCGCTGGAGCAGACGCAGATGATCAGGCCGCGCAGCACCAGCAGGACCGTCAAGCAGAACTTCTGCATCTCAGTGCCGCTTACTGTCCGTGATTTAAAAAGCACATGTGCGTCCAAAAGCAACGTTACATGATAGTGATGCTATAAACAGCTCCTGCTCCAGGGAAAGGTACCAACCAGCGGTTAGGAAGGCAATAGTGTTTCACAAGTAAATCACACGAAAGCGAAAAGCCCCTTCCAAATGTTTGTTTGCAAACAGAAAAAGCAAATCACAGCATATAACGAGGTAGATAAATCCCCTAAAACTGTCGATTTTGTCAAAGACGTTCCGTTGTTAAAGCTCAAGGCAATGGAAAAGTGGGTAAACAGTACAATAAACACGACTTTCCAACGAAATAATGTGTTCCCTTTCTGAAACACTGGGTTACTTTTAATGAATACGATCACAAAGAGCAGACAAAGTCCTTCTGAAAGCCGGTTCCTTATGAGTAAATTCCTTCTGAAGCCAGGGTAATCCTCTAGACTCGTTTAAGTAATGTTTGTCGATAAAAGCGACCCAGTAACTTAACGTCTCTCAACTTTATGCGCTCGCATTTGCCTTGTGTTGCTCCCTCAAAGAAAGTCAAGAGTTTACAAATCCTCAAGCGGCTCATGAATATTAATTAGTTTGCGTGACGCTTGCCGAGGAAGCTGATTTGCTGAGACGACTTGAAATATGAATATTAATTAGTTTACGTAACCTTTACGAAGAAACGTCAACATTAACGAAATACCAATAATTAAAACATCATTGATGAATGTAAGTAACGTGTCCATATTTTGTAACGATGTTATAACATATACAAAAAATACTTTATTAATTTGATATAGCCTCTTATTTATCATTACTGTTATGACCAAATTGATTTTATTTGTATATACAAAAACAATATTGGTCAAAATACCTTTGTGTACAGTGATTATACGAAATCTATTCATACTTGGACCTACATGAGGCAGTAGGTTAACTTAATGAACCTGACATTTTGTTGAACTATCCCTCATTAATAAAAAAAAAAAATCAGGAATCTCAATATTATCTCAATCCCCAACTCTAAAAAGGCAAAAAGCTAGTATTATTACATAATCACTATAAACAAGCATTAATCAGCAGCCTTCAGGCATTCACAGCAAAACAAACTACACATTTACGGTCTCATAGACCTGCATGTACACACACAAACCTAGGCCTCAGGATTAAAATAGAGCCCTATCAGATTAACATGGCTGAAGACTCATACACTCACAAACGGCAACAGAAAGAAGGTTTCGGGTTACATCTCAACAACCCCATGCGGTCTAAATATAAAACTGGGGCTCCAGTGAGCGGATGCCAAGCAGTGGCTCTTACGAGCATGCACAAGTGACGGGTGTCTGTCATTGTAATTCAGGACAAGCTCACTTCAAAGTGAATGTGAGAAACTTCATCTCATTTCTGCCCCTGGTGGCCAGCATAGATGTCATCAATCTATAGTGGAAAATGGTGCATCAAGTTGGTTTGCTTCTCATCATCATTTTGACATTAAAGTGTGAATCGGGTTGTTTTGTTGTCATGACTGAAATTTTTTTTAAATAAGGGAAAGCAAAAACAAATAGTTTGCATAGGAGGTGCTAGTGTTAGAAGGCAAAGTGTTAATAAAAAAGTCTTTCTAAAGCTGTTTCTAGAAAATGGCTAAGGATTAAACTGCTCGGGTCAAGTAATTAGAGTTGAGTGCAGCATCATTGACACAGCAATGATATGGAAAGCCATATTTTTGAATGATAAAAATATGTAGATAGAAAACAGAAGTGGTCCAAGTCCTGGGGCACTCCAGTAGATACATGTTGTGACCAGGTTGGACCCCCTTTTGCCTTCAGATTTGCCTTAATCCTTCGTTATAGATTCAACAAGGTACTAGAAATATTACTCAGACATTTTGGTCCATATTGACATGATAGCATCACGCAGTAGCTGCAGATTTGTCGGCTGTACATCCATGATGTGAATCTCCCATTCCGACAAAACCCAAAGGTGCTCTATTGGATTGAGGTGTGGTGACTGTGGAAGCCATGAGAGTACAGTCTGAGATGATTGGGGCTTTGACATTATTCTGCTGGAAGTATCCATCAGAAGATGAGTATACTGTGGTTATAATGGAATGCACATGGTCAACAACAGTATTCAGGTAGGCTGTGGTGTTGACACGATGCTCAACTGGTACTAATGGGCCCTAGAAATTATCCCCTACACTATTACACCACCACCAGCAGCCTAAACTGCTGATACAAGGCAGGATGGATCCATTGCATTCATATTGTTGACGCCAAATTCTGACTCTACCATCTGAATGTTGCAGCAGAAATCAAGACTCATCAGACCAGGCAACGTTTTTCCAATGTTCTTATGTCTAATTTCGTTGAACCTGTGTCAATTGTAGCCTCAGTTTTCTGTTCTTAGCTGACAAAGAGTGTCACCCGCTGTGGTCTTCTGCTGCTGTAGCCCATCCCCCACAAAGTTGGAAGTGTTGTGCGTTGAGAGATGCTCTTCTGCATACCTTGGTTGTGATGAGTGGTTATTTGATTTACTGTTGCCTTTATATCAGCTCCAACTAGTCTGGCCATTCTCCTCTGACCTCTGGCATCAACAAGGCATTTGTGCCCACAGAAATAAAAAATCCCCGTACCATTCAGGGCTTTTCTGTAAATATGATAGCAAAAAAATAAATGTATGGTTTAAAAACTATCACTTTACACACACAATAGTGAAATGGCAGTTTTTCGTAATCTCCATACTTCACTGTCTTTACTATGTTCCATCATGCACTCAATCAATCAATCAATCATCTCAGTATTCACAACAGTAGAGACAAAAAGAAATAAACAACTCAAGACTGTTTGAATCTATTACAGTGTTTAGTGATCCATTTCAAAAGCAACAGATACACTGGCCCTTTAAAAGTTAGACAGCACCAATACAGTTCAGATCTGCTAGAGAGCGTGCACTCGAAGCCAGAACGGCCACTAGCCATTTGGCGAAGGCTGGTAACTTCCAAAATGTAAAACAATCCATTGAAAAGGCTGAGAAAACAGACACCCACTCTCACCCTTTTTTTCTACAGACAAAGATAACGGTGATCTAACACACTAGTTTCTGTTCAATGTAAGCACAGGTGACAGATGAACTAACTAACTTATGCAATAGATATGACGAAACAACATGGTTAGTTTTGAAATTAACCCATCAGGTCCTCTGATTCAAACTCGCTGGAAGACAATTGAAGAAGAGAAAAATAACACTGAAAACATACATGGAAAGGTTGCGCATGTGTGTGACCTTCACAAATTGACCTTTAGATTTGGCAGTTTCCATTTCGGCACTTCCACATGGTATGGTTTTAATTTTATTCCCTGATTGAGGAACTTAATGAAAAAGGCTCACAGTAGATACTATTTAATGGCTTTGTGAGATTTACTAGGTTTTGGCTTTTTTGTTTTACTTCCAAAGCAATAGCTTGTAACGCAGACCAAATGAGGATTGCCCATAAAAAAGGTATACAAAAGAGATTTAGATCATGGAAGAAATGGTTAGAAATAACCATTAATATAATAGCTCATGCCATAATAATGTTTTATAAAATAATACAATATTTTAGACTCATTAAAATTAGCCGTGGAAGAAACTTTTCAATTAAAAAACCCAAAACTACTGAGGAAGTTCACCTGCTGTTCCTCATATATAAATCCCAACAGTCCATGTTGATTGAAAATCATTTTCAGAGCATGCTGGAGTGTCTTTTTCTCCAATCAGATGATGCATATAGAGAAAAAAATGCATAAAAGAGCAGACATATGACGACACTTTGCCCTGTGACAACTGAAAAGGGTATAAACAAACGATCATGTCCTCTTCACAAAAGAACAAACTTTGTAGTGTTACCACCAGATCCCACAATTAATCAGTAGTGGTTTAAGGCCTCATATTTTGCTTTAGGCTACAGCTATCACAGAAGTGAACATTTGGTACTAAACATTTACACAAATTTAAAAAAGGGGGCACATTTCAGAAGAGGGCTGTCACTCCTGTGGTTTCAAAAATCAAAACGTATGAAAGACAGGACAAGATTGGGTTTCCTGTAACCTACAAACCAATCATCTTCACGCAGCGATGCCATAACAAGTGCTTTTATGGGAGCGCTCAGTGCAAAAGTACTACTTAGTGAGCGAACCTATGTTACGCAGCTTGCGAGAGAGCAGGAACGCAGGCGAATGAATAGTAAATCAATGATATTTGATAGTAGGGCTGTGCGATTAATCGAAATTAAATAGCGATTTGAAACATTGCGATTAGCTCGCATAAGGCTGCTATATAAAACGTATTATTTAACTTTCCCCATTCAGAGCAAATGTGTGACTGCCGTTTTACTAGCTAAGTGAGTGACTGCACTTTCGTTCTGCCCAATTAGAACTGTGCAACCGAAATATGCAGAACGCCCATAATAAAAACAAACAAACAAACAAACAAACAGGAAAGTACAATATCAGAGCTGTTTGCTAATGTAAGTTATTTTCTTTTCAGGTCCTACTTTTAATTGACACTCGCTGCATTTTAGCAGTAAGAAGTTAAAATACAGATTGTTAAGCTGAAGCTTGGCTATAAAATTAAATCGAAATCGCAATATCTGAAATCGCAATTAGACATTTTCCCCAAATCGCACAGCCCTATTTGATAGTAATCCATGTGTTTTCGTACAGTACAGCTAAGCAGGAATACCTTGTTTTGATGTATATTCACAATACATGATCACATAACGCTACATATTCGACCACATGAGTTTACACTATAATCGAATGTTTTCAACTACCTCTGCGACCGGTCAAAAGGGGACAAGCTGAAAACATTTCGGACCCTGTAACCACATTTATTTAGCGTTGTTCATTTGTGATCGGATTCATTTGTAAAGTGTCACGCAAAGTGGCTTCCAGGTCCAAGCGCTAAATCAAACTGTTTGGGGAGGCTCATCTAATGGCAATAATTAATGTTTACAAAGCGATGTAATACTTTCAAAAGTCACAATCGCAATACATATATACATGCCTAATATTCGACAGCCTGAAAATGATCAATTATTTATACGTTGTTAAAATATTGATGTCTGTGACGTACACCATGACGATCATAAAGGAGTATTTTCTCAATTCAAATGAGTAGCGGCTTGGACATGACTTAAGTGGATAGCGCATCTTAATATCAGTTGAAAACACCCTGAGGCAAATTAACCTTTTTATTTAAAAACACTCAAGGCTACGGCTGAACGAAAAAAAGCTGCAATTTCTCTGCTGGTTTTAGTAGAGACACTATGAATAATATGTAAATATGACCTGTTCTGACCCGATTAATTAGAAATCTCTGACCCATTCAAAAAAGCTAAATTGATTCCGTGCGTTTGTTCAATTAAATGTACGCCTTTTTTCTGTGGGACTTTTGACAAGTTACTTTTATATCAGCAGCTTAAATAGCCAATGAAAAGGGTCGGATCAATAGCTACTAGTATTTGATGAGTTTAACATGGCCAAGTCAGTTAAAGCTTTCTTATTAAAAACTTCACATGAGAAAAGTTTACGAAGCAGAAGAGCCACCTTCTCCCAGATACACAAAAACGCCATCAGTATTACACCGGTTTAGTGAAAACGAGAAACCAATAAAAAAAGGGGGTAAAAAGACCAATTTACATGACATAAAATTATTATTACACAAGAGAAAAGGGTCTGGTGAAACTCCAGAAGACTTAAGGCATTTGCCAAAACGAGTAAAAGGCAGCTAGGAGTTCAGGCTTTTAAAATGCATGAACCTTTTCCTTCTGAGCTCAAACGCTCACAAGAAACATACAAAACTATTTGGTAACAAAAGTTTACTATATGTTATAAAACTGAAAAAGGTGAAAAAAATGTACCTTAGCTAAAGCTTATAAAATTATATATCAATAAAAATAATAATAATAATAATAATATTCCTTGGTCCGTAAAAACTATATTACTATGATAACTTTTCTTCCAAGCCTGGTGAAACAGTGCATTAAGCCCTTTAGTAGAAAACAACAATCTCTCAAAGCCAAATCCATCCTGCGCATTCTTAGAAAAGGCTTCGTTTGACAAGAAAAAAAAGTGTTTCTTCTTTTTTTTTTTGATTGACTTTTTTCACTCGTGTAAGGCTAATGCATTGATCCTGTGGTATCTTGATCCACGGCACACATTACCACTTCCTCCGATGTGAGGAAACAGACTGAAAAAGAACCACAACAAAGAGAGACAGAGAGAGAGAGAGAGAGAAGAGACATCCATCTTCATTTGTTCGGTCCAGTTATCGAGCGAAGTCTTGTCTCTCTTTTGCTTCACTCTCTCTGTGGCACCATTATCCGTTTTTGTCATCCGTATCCCATGTATCTATGCAGGAGAGTCTACGAGCTGACGAATCACCATCTCTCACTTAAACACGCAAACTACGATTCCCAGGTTAGGAGACGGACATGGCAGAGGAGGAAGATGTAGATACTCCTCCTGATGCGCCGTATCCTGCCTGGCTGTCGACGGCTGACTGCAGCAATAGGCTGGAGGCTGAGGAAGATGAAGATGGTGATGTGGAGGAGTTGCTGTTGGCCCGCAGTATGGCTCCTGCGGCGCTGCAGTGAGGCCGAGGTCCTGGCTCTGGCGTGTAGGTAAAAGTCAAAGCCGTGGAGTAGATGATGCCGTCGTTACGGACCAAAGTCACAGGAACCTGCACTGGCTGCCGAACCCAACGCCATCCCTCACGGAACGCAGAGATGTCAGGAACCACACAGAGCACACTTTCGCCACATCTGCAGGTAACGGGGACACAGATTACAGACAATTTACGTATTGAATATTTTGCAATGATTTTGTTGATGACATACAAGTAGTCTCAAAGAAAAACAAATACAGGGTATTTTAGCTGAGCGATTTTGTTTTTTCGATTAAAATTGTGCCGTTTAAAAGGTTCTTCTTTATGTTTGGGACAGCCTTCCCTCAGTAGACTGGATTTTAACAACAGGGTTACATGCACTCAGACAGCTCAAGTGCTTCCGGCGAACTGTCTTGGCATTACAAAACTGCTTAAGATCTGATTTCTTTTAAAATCAGTGATCTTCACTGCCTAATTGATATACGATATGAAGTGGGTCTCAGACCAGACAAGAAGCACTGCATTAAATGACATTTTCCCCCACCATGTCTTTAACATATGAACATTTATGTTACCCCAGTATTTTCAATTTAGTTTTTGATGGCACTAGCAGTTAAACAGTCTTTCATCTCATGCTTAAACAACTAAATTAATGCTTAAGTCTATTTAACTGAATACATTTTTATTACATTACAACATCGATGCTTATAAAATTGAAAATAGTCACATTAACCCTTCACCGAAAGTTTATCGTTGGCTGAAAAACACAAGCTGTGCATAGAGCCAATTGCATTGATTTTAAGCTTCATAGCTGTAAGCAATGTGTCCGCATCTGATTATTTTATAGATGTAAGAATTGGTACGTCAGATTGATTGTTTAATAATTTTGAAATAAATTTGAACATTACATCCTGATGAACTAGTCTTAATTATTAAAAAAGAAAAAGCCGCTGTGGGCCCTTTTGTCTTCTATGATAAATTCATATAAATAATTACTCAAAATTTATTTTACACTGGCATTTCCATCAAGCACTTTTTTTTATGCAAAATTCCAAAATGAGCATAAAAATAGGTGGATAGAAACAAACCCCAATCAAAGAAACAGATTTAAGGTGTTACAGATCAACATAGATCAGTTACAGAGATTAAACTGGAATTCCTGATCACTTGTTTCAGCAGTTCAGAATCTATTTATTGTTGCTTAGTTTTTAAAGACATTAGCTTTATTAATAACCAATCACTTTGACCAATCAGACATTTAACAGTAGACATTTTACATTCCCAAACAGCTGCATTATTCACTACATAAAAGGTTACATTTGGAAAAAAAAAATACAGAAAAGCAGCACTTGAAGAGTGCAATGTTTTGCTCTAATTTTCTGCAGCTCTCTGGGATCAATACAGGGTGTTCAAGGGCACCACAGTCATGACTGCTTGGAACAAAGATCCGTTACCTGTACATAGTATCTGCCTCCACATCTCCAAACCAAACTCTGAGGTTGGGCGTAAAATTCTGTCCTGTCAGTTCAAGCATGGCAACATCTCCTCCTCCATTCAGCTAGAAATTTAGGACCCAATGTTACTTATGCATACAGTTAGATGTATTTCTTATCAAACATCATAACAATCACAATATGTGCTTAAAGCAACCATTAAGCCTTGAATATGACTTTGTGGATTACCTGTAAACTCTCGACAACAGGCACTGGTGTGACAGGTGAGGGTACAGGGCCCATCCCCTCATAGAAAGTGTACTCTGCTTTGTCTGTGCTGATGATTGTCCATGATGCACCATCGTTGATCATTTCTTTGTTCGTTTCTTTGGGACAGGGTGTGGCCTAAGTAGAAAAACATTTTAATTGTTTAATTTGTAAAGCCATAGAGCCTTACATGATTAACAAGAAGAGAATTTGTAGTAGTAGTCTGATTTTAAGCTAAATTCTTCCACAGATGTGATGCTTGTATGAACTGTAGTGCATTATGAACTGACCTGGAACTGAATTATCCTCTCCTGTGACAGGCAGAGGTACATCCTCTCTGTATCTTTAAGGTAGAAGGCACATTTATGTAGTTGGGACACAGGATCGTCGGCGTCCATTAGCGCTGTCTGCTTGTCCACTTTACGAATGATCTACAGAAGCACACAACATTTTACTTTTTAAAAATTGTACTCGGCAAGCATTTTACAAAGATTAATTCAGTGACACACAAATATACATTTCTTAATTGAATATGACACATTTCTCAACCCAACCCTTTTAATCATGAATGATCACAGTCATTCAGACTGATCACTGTTGAGGTGGATAATAGATTACCAGTCGGGGTAGAGCCATGCCCGTCACAGAGCACACCAGCTTCACCGTCTGACCATAATGGATGTAACCGTCTCTGACTGTAAACTCCTCTCCCTCTGACTCATCATCATCCACTGGAATTAAGAATTACACATCATAAATAATGAACAAGGAAACATGCAGACACAGAAAATGACAAGACATCTTGCCAAAATGTTTAGAAGTTAATTCAAGACCTTCTGCAAATATTTTTAAAGCTGAATGAAAGGAAAGCCTTTTAAATGAAACGGACTACTGAGAAAATATTAAGCAATAAATATAGATTTCAGTATTTCTACTAAAACATGTCATTTAATTTGTTTTAGGTTTTTCCAGTGAATATTGTCTCAGTAAATAGTACAGTATTTAAATAAACTTTACAAAATGGCGTTTAAATAAAAACTTTTAAAAAATATTTAAAAGAAAAAAAATAATTTTTTATAAGCCTGTTTGTTTGATTGTATGAAGTTATGAATTAAATTACAACATAAATATTAACTTTTCATCTTTTTTTCCAAAAACACCCCCTAAAGAATTATTGTAATGGATTGCCATCATAAATAAATGATACATAAGGTGCGAATTTATTCAAGCATAGTGCATGTTTATTCACTTAAAATCATAGCATGTGTATTGTGACAACAGTGTTCGATATCACAATATTGATTTCATTCCTTCCAATAGGGCTCAATGTCTTGGCACTGATATAGTAAAAAATTTAATTTCATTGTTTTTAATGTAATTTTGTGTTGACTGACTCACACAGATGAATATAGAAGGCTCCCCACTGTTGTGAACTTGCATGGAAGTTTCCCCCTTCCACATGAAGGTACCGTGTACTGACAGTCTGAGACCGCAAGCGGTTAAAAAGAGCCACTTTTGTCCCAGAAGCTATGCACACTGTAAAAAAAAAAAGATTGCAGATGAGCAGAGCAAAATTAAAAATGAAGAATAGTTTCATTTATTAATGAGAATGCTTTTTTACTTACGGTCTGCATTCTTCAGCGACTGTTTCTTTTTGGAAGGTTTTGAGATGACCTTGATTCGCTTGCTGAGGAAGACGCCGATATCTGCGCTATTACCGTAGAACATTTTCACCGACAGCATGAAGTGCTTCCGTTTGTCAGAGTCGGAAATGTATAATGTTTTTGCTGTGCAAAAATTCTATAGAAGAAAAGCACAAGGATTATGATGAACATCATAACACATGACTATTTAAATTTATAAAGGTTTTTTTGCAGCAGTTAAACAAAAAGTACCTTGCCCTCCAAGTTGAGCTGCTGCATTTCTTGTTCACTGTTTCCAATGCCGATAAAGGCACAAGGTTGAGACTCTTGCTCCGAACAGCCTTCTCTCTCCATCTGCTCCTTCTTCTTCTTCCAACCACAACCCATCAGGTACACACAGGGTGGAGGACAGAAGAATCTAACAGACATTTACAACAGATTAAAGAACAGTTTGTGGAATGATTTCACATTGAAATCAGCTGGAGTTGACCAAAATGTAACATTTAAGTCAACATTAAATAGTTTACAACGTAGCTGTGCATTATAATCTTCCTTACAAACACCACAATGCTAATTTAGTCTACATTTAAGTGGACATGCATGTTGTTAAAGAGTTTTAAAGTGCAATAGTAAGCCTCATAGAAAGTTCTCCGTGCAGATCTCATGCTGACTGATGCACACCAGAAGTACATGCACACATGCAAATGTGATCCTGAATTTAGTTCCTTTTATACTGCGCTTGAACTTTCATTTACACACAGAATGATTTAAGAATATCTGTATACAAATTAATGCTCATATATGTGCATTATTTGTAAACAGTTTGGGAAAAACGCAAAGGAAACCACTGATATCAACTATGGTCTGATGAACAAATCTCTCAGGTTAAATGCACGGTCACTGCTTACATTTGTAAATAACAATTGTAAATGCTCGTTTAGTATCAGCAAACCACTCATTATCAGCCCACTCAAGACCGTTGTTAATACCAGGTGAAAACGGTCATTGTGCAACAACATTTCTCTTGAATTATGTGTTCTGATCAATTAATCAAAACAGGACCAGGAATGTGCATCACAATTAAAAGGCTCTGTTTTTATTTTATGTCATCAGTTAACGTTACCTTCATCACTCACCTTTTTTCATTGCCATACGATTTCTGTGCGACCTTTGCATGCAGTATGAGCACTGTCTGATCTCCTCTCTCCTTCAAGTAATTGCGCATCGCCTCTCTGCAAAACCACCCAATATAACAAAGTTGTTTAACCGCTATTTTTTAAATATATATTTGATAAATGTTTTGCATAGACATGAACATGAGTGCATTTACCTTGTTAAACGCTTTGGCTGAGGGAGCTCCCCAAACTTCCTACAAAACAAAACACAGCATAGTAAAGACACACAGTAAACATTGGATTTGAAGTAGACACATAAACAACAATAATCATCAAAGCTGTCAGCCTAGTCATCTGCCTACCTAAACATAATTTTTGGGTAGGATAAACAAGTTCAATCGTGCATTAGATTCTTCAATCTGCTGTCTATTTAGGACTAAGTAGAACAGACCAAATAAATCTAAAACTTGAAAGAGACACAACAATTTAACATACAAGTGAATGAAACAAATATTCACTTTTTCCAGATAAAAGTAGTTAAACTGAAAATTCTGAAATAAAACTTTGAGTCCTCCAGAAAGCTCCCAGACTGTTATGGACTGACTAGACAAGCTAACCTGGCTGGCTAGCAACTGCTAACCTGCTTTCTCTCTTTCCATCTCTCTAGTACAACTCACTAGTTTGGTTCACTTCCTATTTATATATTTTTAGACTTTAAGTAAGGTTTAAAGTTTCAAAAGACGCCAATAATAAAGTCTAACTATGTTTACAGTTAAAGATCAGCTCTCAGCAGCATTCAATGATTAAGGAAAACTGCTGAAAATCTTTCAGCTAACTAAAAGCTAAGCGGCTAACTGAATAAAAGAGCCCATCGCTGAAAACCTGAAAAACCACACTGAAGTAGAGTGAAACTGGTCGCCAGCGCAGGGACAAGCGGCCAGATGTGTAAATAAATAAATCAAATCTAGTTATCTTCACTAAACAGCCAAAACTTATTTTAGCTGTGACTTTTCCATGCCCCGTCCGTTGATAATTTCGCTGCTTACCCTGTCACAACAGGCGCCATCTTCACCAACTCTCTCTAATAACGCCGAGACTCGCGAGATTTGCCCAGACGAGGGGGAGGGGCGGTGTGACAAATAACGCCAGGAAAGGGGGGCACAGGCGTGAGAAAGTTCTGAAGTCACGCGAGAACTCGCAATCGAATGTAATAGGAGCGGATGAGAGCGAGTGTCGTGTTATCGCGAGAGTGAGTCGCGGACGGCTGCCAGCCAAACGCGTGTGAAAGTTCTCACGACAGACCGCACCTTTAAAGCGCGGGCCGTGAGAAAAACATTTCTGGAAGGAAGGAAACCCGAGGACTGAGGACCGACACCAGGAAATGGAGATCTGACGTGGAGCAGATCAAAAGGGTGTTGTAATTAAGAGTCTGTGAAAGTTAATAGTGTTATAATATTGTTACTAACGTGTTTTCCTCTTTGAGGCAAAATATTGCATAATACTATTTTTGACCCAACACGTGTTATTTCAGTCTAAATGCATAGAAAACATCCTAAAAATTATCTTTCTTTTGCTAATTTGTTTATTCACATACAGTATTTTTAAGGCCGTATTCTCAAATTTTTCTGCACTTAGCCGCAAATATCCACTTCAACAACACTTACACCAAACTTCAGTTCTATTAATAGCTGTATTCTGAAGATTTTTACAGAGGTATATGTTTTATTTTTTAAAACTTTAACCTTATTTTCTGTCTGTGTATTTGTAGTAGGGAGAGTGGGGACGGACGGTTGCAACAAGACTCCTCCATTCAGGAATGAGCTAGAGTGATGATATTACTACATATTCTTATATAGACCCTCCTTCAATCTCAGATAAATCATCCATATGCGACCATTCCTTCAGGATAAAGCCTGTTTTAAGGTAAAAAAATAGAAATTTAGTTAGTTGACTTTATTAGTGTCTGTAGGTAGATTCTTTTTGCAGCAAAGTTTGGCAATCGATACAATTAAATCACACACATACCCACATATACACGTACAAAGTACCCTATAAAAGATTACAATTTATTCAGAGTGACAATACATGATGGGACAAAGCTATTCCTGAACCATTTTGTCCTACTAAAAAGCATCTGAAACCTTCAACCTGAAGGGAGCAGGATAAACTTCTCAGACAGGATAAGAGCTACAGCTACTAATGTTCTGGGCAATGCGTAAAAGCTGTCTATTATACAGGCCAGGGATTCAGTGCTCAGCTGTGATTCACCAATCAACCTGCTAGACCACCCGACAACCTGGCTCAGTCTATTCCTGTTTTTGAGAGACGGACCTCCAAACCATGCCACCAGTGCGAGGGATAGAATAGACCCAATAAAAGAACGATAAAAAAAGAGTAAGCAAATTGGGGCCAATGTGAAAATGTGAAAGTTTCCTGTGACAATATTGGGGCTAATGCCCCTTCTTGCACACAGCATCACAGTTTGCTTCAAAGTTTAAAGATCGGTCAATAATGGTACCCAAATGTTTGTAGTTATCCACCCATTCTACTTTTTGACCCTTAATATTAATCACCTCAGCTGCTGTATGATTCCTTATAAAAGCTATAATCATATCCTTAGTTTCTGTTGCTTAATGTTTTAGACTAGACTCCTCACACCACTGAACAATATAATCTACTATGGGACCACGACTATTTTCATCTTCTTGGAGGAGGCTTACAATTACAGTGTCTTCTGCATATTTTAAAATGAAATGATTTTCATTTTTAAAAAAAGTATTTTTTAATGTTTAGAAAATCTCTCATACTGCCTAATCTGTTTTTGTAAAACATTATTTATTCATATAACTTCAATCACAAATTGAGAAGGCTAAATTGTCTGTAGTGTATGTGTGTGAATGAGTGTGTATGGATGTTTCCCAGAGATGTGTGGCAGCTGGAAGGGCATGCGCTGCGTAAAACATATGCTGTATAAGTTGGGGGGGGGGGAGGGGGGTGGGGGGGGGGACATGCGCTATAGGTGAATTGAATAAACTAAATTGGCCATAGTGCATGAGGGTACATCGATGTTTCCCTCTACTGGGTTGCAGCTGGAAGTGCATTCACTGCGTAAAACATGTACTAGATCAGTTGGCGGTTCATTCTACTGTGACGACCCCAGATTAATAAAGGGACTATGCAGAAAAAAAAATGAATGAGTAAATTAATGGTTTAAGGTCTTAAGTAATGAAATAGATCTGTCATATCAACTAAACTCTGTCTTTTCACCAGATGGCAGTGTTGCTTCACTGAGGTCATATTTATTCTGCAGTGTGCTGGGACTCCTGGGTGGACCAAGAAGATGGTTAAGGTGAGAGACAAAACAATTCAAAATATTCCCATAATTTTTCCATATAGTAGAAATGCCACACATAGGTTCATACAGAAGTGGTTTTATTAGCAACGCATCTGTTATATACTAATACAAACGCCTTCTTCAAACACTTGTTAGTTACTCAATGGATATAATTACTTTATGCTCTTTTATTGTAATTGACAGCATATAGTCAGTACAACTGTTAAAATAAAGAGTTCAGATGCAAAAACCTCGAAATGCCATCTGAAATTCTCCCTTAAAATTAGCATTTTTGTCAGCCTACTATGTTTATGTTCGGTTTTTTCACTTCAAACACACTGAAAATAACTTATTTGTCACTATAAAAGTTAAATCACTGAGTTTGCACATAGGAGTTGGAGAAAAATGCTCATTTTAGATGAAAATATCAAACGGGATTCAGGGGTTTTTGCATTTAAACTCTTCAAATATTGTTTCATAAGCATTAAAGGAAAGACAGAATCTGAGGATTTTTTTTTGCTATTTCTGTGTAAGAGGAAAAAAAAATGCAGATTTATGCATAATAATTTTGATAATATTAAAATTAAAATGTAAAAATAACAACTTTGGCAACTTTTAAGGTTTACAATGCAAATGCACTTGTTCGGCAAACAAAATTACAGTAAGTCTTGAATAATACATTCACTAAAAGACAGAAAATATTACTTTATCAATTGAATTGTACTTAAATGATCAAAAAATCTGCATATTATTCAATAATATTACTGAAATCTGGCGACGCGGTGGCGCAGTAGGTTGTACTGACGCCTCACAGCAAGAAGGTCGCTGGTTTCATGCTCTGCCGGGTCAGTTGGCATTTCTGTGTGGAGTTTGCATGTTCTCCCCGTGTTTGCGTGGGTTCCTCAGGTTTCCTCCACAAGCCCAAAGACATGCGATATTGGTGAATTGGATAAGCCAAATTGTCCATAGTGTATGTTTGTGCGAATGAGTGTGTATGAGTTTGCAGCTGGAAGGGCATCTGCTGCGTAAAACATATGCTGAATAAGTTGGCGGTTCATTCCGCTGTGGAAAACCCAGAATAATAAAGAGACTAAGCCTAAAAGAAAATGAAATGAAATTACTGAAATCCATCTAAAAAATCTGAATAAATACCTTTACACACATTTAAATAAGTAGTTTGAATGATGGCTCGTATCTATGGGTTTCTGTGGGTGCAGATTCAGTGTGGGGCTCCAATAACCAAAGTTTGTTATCATTTTTTTTTATCTGCACAAGGAGCAAGACATCATCATTATTGATCTCTCGAACCAGACTCTTATCCTCAGAATGACTTGTACAGTATGTACAGTATAAAAAACATTGTGCCAGCTAAATGACTCCCTAATATTGCTTATATATTTCGTCCTAGATTTTGTAGCACGTTCATAAAATGTTTGAGAGCAATTTATTTATGGCTCCATCCACCTAACCTAATTTCATTGAACTAACATACATAACAACATATTTATAAGACATACAATCTTTTATTGAAAACAGTTTAGTGATATTTGATTAAGAGTTTTATTTCATTGAACTGTAGCTTAATAACTTTTGTTGGCATTTAACCCTCAAGTTGTAAAAATGACTAATTATCTTACAAGATCAAAGGTTTAATAGATATCTAGGACAGTCAGTTCTGGTTTATTCTTGGGACACTATCTCTCGGATCGTTCATACATTACCTTTTTATTGTCTTCTAATTATCTATCACGCCGTGTTCTATAGCTCAACATTATTTTATATCTGAACAGGTAGCATCTTTACATAGCACTAATCCCATTATACGTAGATATTGAAAATTCATAATAATTGAGTTTTTATTTAAGATTCAATATTACAAAGCTGTAAAATAGCTCAGGTAATCTGTCTCGCTAGTATTGAGGATTCAAGTAAAAATACAGATCACTCTAAAACATCAGTATCATTAAAAAGGTTAAATGTAAATAAATAAATATATATTTAAGGGCTACATTCAGTTTTTTGTTTTAATAATTGTCTTTAAAAATGATTTGAGTCAATATGTAATCTGTTAAACATATGTGACCATAGACCACAGAATCAGTTATAAGTGCTAGTTTTTTTTATATAGATATATTACCTGAATGCTGAACAAATAAGCTTTCTGTTGATGTGTGGCTTGCTTGGATATGATCATTTTGGCTGAGAAAAACAAACTATTTGAAAATTTATAATCTGAGGGTTCAAAAACATCAAAACACTAAGAAAATCACCTCAAAAAAGTTCTCAGCAATGCATGCTGCTAGTCAAAAATTAAGTTTTGATGCATTTACAGTAGGAAATTCACAAAATATCTACATATATCACAATTTTTACTTAATATTGTAATTATTTCTGACATAAAAGGAAAAATATATAGTTTAACATAAAATTCAGTTTTAATATAGAATTAAACACAGAATGTAATGTAGATTTGTTGCCAAATGCAATGTAAAATTACAGGATCACAAATGTTTTCTCTCATCACATTCAGTTATGAATTGCATGAGTTGTACAGATAATAATAATTCATCTTATTTATAATGCACTTTCAGTATTTCTAGAATAATTCTTCTGACCTATAAGTTTCTAATCTGCATTGAGGCTGCTGGAGAAGGGTAAGAGAATCAATAGAAAGGAGAGATCAAGAAGGGGTGCAAAGAATAACTGAATCACAAGTATAAAAGGGACCAAAAGGGGCCGATTCTTCATTTTAAAATGATGAGAAGAAAGTCCTGTAGTTGTTTTCTGTCCCTAAACAATTGTCAAATATGAATTTTTTAGCTGTTTATCTTACCTTTATCTTATCTGACAGCTTTTCCTCGTAAAAGATCGAAGCTCCACTTACAATTTATTTTTGATATTTTGTGAACAGTAAAGCTCCACCTTTTTTGATCTGATTGGTCATCTTAGTCATTTTGACATCGATGATCACTGTTAGACTGCTGACATGACCAGCCTAAAAATGTAACTCATAAAACATTTTGTCCGAATCAGACAGAGCAGCACCAATATAAAATAAATGTTGGAAGACTATTGCTATTAAGACATTTGATTTTGCAGCACTTTTTATTACTCAATTTTTTTGGTTTTGCTATATATTTGATTTAGGTTACTGGAATGTTGGCAGCCAGATTCAATTGTTTTAAACAGTGGGGTAAGCTTAGGACAATATCAAGGGCCCTAATTAGAGATGGAACCAGATGTAGAATTTTATTTATCGCAATCTTATCATGATATTCCCAAGATTCCAAGGAGTAGATGTAAACAAGCAGTGATAAGAATTTAAAGGCTATAAAAACTGTTATTGTCATCTCAATGATAATAATAATTTACGATTCGAATTATATAATCAAGAGCAATTGGGAAGAAAAGTGGTTCTAAACACCAAATTATTGGAATCTTTGTCTTGTAACAATATACTCTTTTAGGTGATAACTTCTTTATTACAGCTAAAAAGCAAAGAACCATGCTTTGCAATGGCAATAAAAAAAATACATATTTTAAGACTGTTTGAAATTAAGTCTTACAATGTTTATTTTGGTAGAGCCCTTTGCTATTGTTAAGGTGGACATTTAATCTATGCAAGTAAATGTTTGTCGTGTTTGTCGTGTTGGTCCTTCTCTGTTGATGTCAGTTTGATGGTTTCAGCCTCAATATTCTCAGCCACGGCCCTCTTTCCATTTTGATAAGAGGGAATGATTTGTAAAAAGAAAGCCCTGCTCCCTTATATTCAGTTTCAGTTGGAAGTACATCAAGAAATTGAAATAAAAGTTAAGTCCAAAGCGCAGGACGCAAACGCATTAGGTGCGTGTCAGAATCCACTTTTGCTATTTTAAGGACGGAAAAGTCTACTTTGCTACATGGCGCATGATCTAACAGGGTTGAGCTTATTCTCTAAATGAGTTATAGGTGTGTAACCCTTTAAGAGCCAGTTGCGCCGCGCCATAGCGTATTTGCTATTTACATGCCGACTTTGTAAGTGGAAACCTTCACTAGCGAGGAAACAGTTAAACAGAGAATCTACAGGCGAGAATGAGAGATGAGCCTCCGCATTCTTTACTTTCGTTTTCACTCTCGTGGACAGGGAAACGTGTTGTAGGCACAGATATCCATTAGCCTACATACATTTTGTTTGTTAAGCGCAAATGGTCAAAAATCTGAGTTATATCCAAATACACATGCTGTGCCCCATATGGTCTAAAACCCGACAGGTGGACAAATCTAAGCTTGTTTTTGAGAAAACAAATATAAATATGCATATAAAAATAAATATTACTACTAATAATAACATTATACAAAACCAAATTGTTATGAATAAACTGAAAAAGCCTCCCCCCCCCCGTGATGAAGAAGGCATAAAAGCATGGTTTTTATATTTATGTAGGCTAGAAAATAATAATTTTTGTAATATTTTATTCCTTTAATTATTTTTCATTTGTAAAGATATTTGCGTATTGCTGTACATACTGTGTGTATTATGCAATGTGTAAGCCAGGCGCACAACTAACGCACTCTGCACTGGACAATAGACCAGCTTCAATCTGATGTATTGAACTGTCTATTATAGTTTCTCAAAATAGAACGTGCCAGCAATGCACCTCAACATGCTTCCTTTTTTAGACCAGAATGCCTATAGGCGCAAATATGAGCACAAATGCATTTGCTATTTAAACAGCGTGGTGGAAAACTTCAAAATGACTCCTGCGCTGAGCTGAAACTAGTAAACAACAATTGCGTTGGGCCTTGCGCCGCATTGCGCCAGGTGTATGATAGGGCCCTAAGTGTAATTGTATTATCAATAATAGGATAAGTAATTTTTTTACTTATTAATAGCTGTTTTTCTTTTACCATGTTGATTTTATAATATCTTTTAGACTTGTTTAGGATTTCACGTGATAAAAATCAAACCGAATGTTTTTTGAATTTGGTACTTTTATTTGTTGTGTTTGTTTATTTAAATGTGAAATTATAGCAGTGCCCTGACAACATTTATTAGCTGAATGGGTTAATACATGATAAATCTTGAAAATGCATGTAAAACAACAACAAATAATAAAATAGATGCAATGAACACAGCATTTCAAAATATTTTTAGTTTTCTGTCATGCCTGTATTTCCATCAATATGTGTGTGATTTGGTGTACAGTGACAGTTTTTTATCTGAAGATTAGAGAGTAAGGAGAGTTAGTCACTTGTTCTTTTAAACTAATGAGAATAAAACACATGATAGGAAACTTGAATTTGTGGTAGATAGGATTTCTATGCAGTTTCAGAAAGGAGAAATTGACCTGTTGAATAAGTGTTGACTAGAGTGTATTTTGAAAGCAAGTTGAAGTAACCGTTTTTTTATTTTCTGGTGAATCACACAGCACTGGTTGCATAGTATGTTTCTGACTTACTAAAAAGAACCAACATAATAATAATTTCTTTCATATAATGTTTTTATAAATACATATATTCTTAAAAATCTGTTTTCACTAGCCTATAGAAAATTATATTTTTTTGCATTGTTATTGTCATTAAAATATAATAAAGTAATGAAACAAAAGAAGTTAATGGAAAAAAAGGAAATGGGAAAGGTAATGTATTAATTAATAATATCAAAAGATTTGGAAGGTAATTTTTAAATATTTATGCATGTATAAATATATTTGTTTGGTGACCATTGATTGGTATGTTTACTTTAAAACATTTTAGCAAAATTATTAGCCCTCTTGTGAAATTTTAATTATTTTAAAATTATTTCCCATGCTGTTTATGATGGAAAGAAGAACAAGATAATTTTTATACCTAATTTCAATTTTTTTTTCCATCTTTTTTCCAACTAGGCAAGCTATGTTAATTATACAAGTTATTGAACAACAGAGGTTTGCTCTTTAGCCAATAAAACATATTTCTCAAGGGGGTATAATATTAATCTTAGAAATGATTTTTAAATAATAAATAACTGCTTTTATTTTAGCCAAACTTAAAGAAATAAGAAAAATGATTAAGGCATACTATGAAAATGTTCTTGTTCTGTAAAAAAAATGACTTGGGAAATTTAAAAAAAATGAGTAAAATCTCACAGGATTTGTTTATTTTAACAAATTGAAGTTACCTTTTTTGCAGCAACACTTTTCTGCATTCATATTTGCTGAAGATGTTTTTTTTTTTTAAGTAGCATTGTATTACGTCAAGTCTGCTTGACGTTTTTACAATCCTGTATCACAGGTGCTTTATGCAAGCCACTGACTCATTTTTCCTTAATGCATAACCAATTTTATGAATGCATATTAATAGATGTCAGGCAACCTAAAAGATTTATTACATTCATTAAATAATTAAGTCAGTTTTTAAAAAATAATAAAATTGATTGTAGGGCATGAAACATAGACAATAATTACATTTAGAAATGCATTAACTGCAGAAAGTGGCTCTGGAAAAACACTGCATGTAACCCACTAGCAATCATAATCAACTGCAACAGGATAAACAACTTTTGTTTTCTCAGACAATACTGTTTTATGGTTTTTAATCCATTTAGGTAAAGTGTGATGGTTTTTAATTCAATGTTCACTTAAATAATTATTTATTTAAATGCAGCATTAAGAATGGTATTAAAATATAATTAACATATTTAATTAAATCATTGCTATTTCACAGGAGTTAAGTCATTTACAATAAGTTCACATCTAGAGTCATATTTAATCATTAATGATCTTTTATTATTGAGAAAAGGTACCTGGTAATCTCTATAAATATTGCTGACAGAGACATCACCTCAGGTCAACATGTGCAGCCATAAAGATATGGACAAAAAAAGCGCAAAGCTGTGTCATCTTCATCCTCTCCTCACTCTTCTTTATTCCACTTATCACCAATTCATAACTGTAACAACCTCCATTTTATTTTCTTTCTGAAAAAGCCCTTTAGCGGAGTGCCATAAACAGGTTGATACAAGATAAAGCAAGTACAGAGACAGACGAAGCCAGATTTAAAGGGCTCAAATCTACCCACTGACCATAAAGTTCCAGATATATCATGAGTTTGTCCGATAACATGCAAGAACAGGGGAGATGCGGCTGATAATGAGGCTCTGCGAAGAAGAATCATTAACTATGGAGGAAAAGATAATATTGAGGAAAATTTTAACCGCAAAATTCAGCAAATGAGGGGTGAAGAAAAGAAGGGGCGATGTTTTGTTTGTTTCAATTTTAATTGATCAACTTTAATTGATGAACTAGTTTTCAGTTTCCAATCTGGTGGCAGAAACCCCAAAATCTGTCATCTCTGCGCTGTAATGTTTGTGCATGATTGATTCGTGAGTGTCTGGGCAAAGTACATTAATAAATGAAATCATGTTTGGATAATGCAGTCAATAGTGTATTTGGCGAGTGTTATTGTTATGATGAACATAAAGAAACAAATAGTAAAACTGAAAATTACTAGTTTACTACTTGCTTTTCACATCAGATTTTCACAGACATTTCCTATAACCTACGTTAATATTGTAAAACACACAAGACTAAACTTTTATTTATTTTATTTTTTGACATGTGGGGTAACATGGTGCCTTAGTGGTTCGCCTCACAGCAAGAAGGTTGCTGGTTCGAGCCCTGGCTGGGTCAGTTGGCAATTCAGTGTGGATGTTCTCCTCACGTTGACGTGGGTTTCCTCCAGGTGCTCCGGTTACCCCTACAGTCCAAAAACTATTAGGTGAAATAAATTAATTAAATTGGCCGTAGTGTATAAGTGTGTGTGAATTAGAGTGTATAAGTGTTTTCCTGTACTGGGTTGCAACTAGAAGAGTATCCACTGTATAAAACATATGCTGGATAAGTTGGCGGTTCATTCTGCTGTGGCGACACCTGATAAATAAAGGGACTAAGCTGAAGGAAAATTTGGATTTTGGGGTGGGTTTTTATATAGACATTACTGAAAGGGTTATTAAAAATATGTAAAAATGTAAAACCTAAAAGGTTAAGGTAACTCAGATTAGTTGAGAAAACCGATTGCAACAAACCTTTTAAGTTTAAAATCTTATCCTAATGAGTTCTGTGAACTTAATTTGAGTAAATGAAGCAATATGAGCACAGTAAGACCCCATAAATGAAGAGAACTCAAACCAACTGAGTACTGTAAAACCCAATGAGTTAAGGCAACTCAAACCGTTTTAGGAAACCGATTGCAACGAACCATTTGAGTTAACAAACTAATCTATATGAGTACTGTGAACTTACTCTATTTAAGTTGAAATAATGAGATATTTAATTAACTCATTACCTTCAACATTGAGTTCAAAACTCTTTTCAAATGAGTAGAATTTTGAGTTAACTACACTCATTTAATTTGCTAAAGTTGACTGTTGGGTTTTACAGTGTAAAAATACAGTGAGACAAGACTGGATTCAATTGCATTTCACCTTGAATTAAATTTTCTTCTTCTTAGGTGTTTAGTCCACTAAAAGGAATTAAGAAGAGAAGTGATCAAAACATTGAGCCTAGGGGCACACCATTACCTGTGGCATATTAGAGACTGCACCCCCTGGACTTAGCAAGACTTGAAGAGCAGTTCCTGAAATGCTGTTATCAGTTATACTGTGTCAAAAGCAGAGGACAGGCAGAACAAGGTAGCTACTCTTGCGAGTCTCAGAATGTCTGTTTTTGAAGCTAGATTGTCGCTGTGAAGGTTGCTGTTTTTTTTGCAAATAATGAAGGGGATACTGGTCTGTTGTTTCAGAACTGCCGGTTATTTATACTAATATTTAACTTGTTTACAATCTTAAACCTAACTGTAAACTTATTGTTATCCCATATATTTACCTAACATTACACACAACTTTCCTTGTTAAGGTACATTGTAAAGTGCGGATAATAACTAAGCTACAACCAAATGTTGAATGCTGTTGAATGCTTACATTGCAGTTCTGGACTGATGTCTGAGTGTGTTCTTAAAGTTCTAATGAAACTCAATGATTTTTAAAGTAATTTAAAACATTGTTCAGCCCCTTCTTTATATATAGTGTCATCTTTAAGGTGACTATTTCCATATTTAATATATTAAATTATTTATATACTATCCTGTACTTGGACCAGTTGGTGTTTCTGTGTGGAGTTTGCATGATTTCCCCATGTTGGCGTGGGTTTCCTCCAGGTGTTCCTGATTCCCCCACAGTCCAAAGACATGTGCTATAAGTAAATTGGGTTAAACAAAAATTGGCAGTAGTGTATGAGTGTGTGTGTGTGAATGCAAGATTATCTGTGTTTCCCAGTAGGTGGGAAGGGCATCCGCTACATAAAACAAATATTCTGGAATAGTTTGCGGTTCATTCCGCTGTGGCGACCCTAAATAAGGAACTAAACCAAATGACTATGAATAAAAAATTAATGACTATCCTGTACTATAAAACACATTTCTACAGTATTAGATTATGTAAATGCCAAATCTCATTTTTAACACAAGTAACAAAGTGCAACAAACAACTGAACACAACAATTTACTGCAGGAAATTATTGTTTAATATCATAATAATATTTTACAGTATAGAAAGGCACATGTTAAAATATTTGACATAAATAAAAGAACATTATCATGAATAAAGAACAATGCACAGATCAGGGTTGACGTCTTATTTAAATCTGAATATATATTTGTCTTTGGCTTTTATATCCTCCGAATGGTATTAAAAATAAACAAGTATCCTTTTCACATTGGAACAAGTACGACAACAATCACCAGATCTCACAGTGTGTAACATAAGATTGTATATTTAAATATATTGCAACATTTACAATGTCCTATAAAAATAGCATTGCTGTATAAAAAAAAATTAATTTAAGAAATACAGAGTGACAAAAACTATTTAAAGTCCACTGATATTGCATACTGTCAACTCTGGGTACCAAAAATCAAAGCCAGTTTGATTTAGATATGTTTAATAATAACCTATAATGCTTTGTTTGAGTCTATAAAGATGTTGCCTTCAGGATTTCGCAACTGTCCACTGTTTTCTTGGGCTCTATGATTTCAACAGTCGTCATCGTATTATCATTTATCTCGATTCCATTAGCCAAATTTTCAAGTTTCGCCTTCTCATCTTCTTCTTTAGAATTGCAGCACTTGCAGCAACAGCAACAGCGGGCGGCAATGACAGTGACTACTCTGTCCCATGGATCAAGAGAGTGAGCCCATAGAGGAAGGAAATCCCAAGACCGGAGAGCAGAAGGAAGCCATTGAGGTTTGTGCTTCTGCAGAATGTTGACAATGATGGCGAAGATCAGAATAACTGCTATGGGGACAAGAACTCCCACGAGTACCTTCCAGCCGGCCATAGAGAGACCAAAGACCAGTAGAGGCAAACCGAAGAAGCAAACGATGATGTAAAAGGCTGCAAACCAACGGTACTGGGCTGTTGTTTCACCAAGACCCTTTGCCAGTCGGATGGGGATTCGTGTGATGGGGATTGGGTACCACAACAATATCCCGGATAAGTTGAAGAAGAGGTGAACCAATGCAATCTATAGGTGAGTAGAGAAGATACAAAACGTTATGGACTGAGATTTGGAGTTAATTATGAATATGTTTGAATGTATTTATTCAGATGTCATGCTAACCTGTAATGAGTTTCCCAGTGTTTCACCAGGACTAGCCATGGCGGCTAATATTGCAGTAGTAGTTGTTCCAATATTGGATCCCAGGGATAGAGGATATGCCCTTTCAATACTTATAACACCTATACCTGTGATCAGAAAAAAATGCAAATGTTAACTCCTTACTGACAGGCTTTACTAGTTTGTTTCAGGGTTGTTAATCATGTTAGAAATCAGGAATAGTTAATAATAAAAAGGTAATAAGCAAAATAAATGAACTATTGTCTAAAGGGGGGGGGGGGGGGGTGATAGGTCTCAGGTTTAAAATCAAGATCAATGCTCTTTTTAGTCTTGATCTCATGTCATTCCGGGATTTTTGACTTTATCTTTTCATGCAATTCTTTTAATTTAGGACATTTGGGGTTTTAGAAAACATTCATAGAGATTCATAACATTCGCAGTCCTCTGGAAATATTTTATTATGTGAGGAACTATCTAAAGTTTAATATGATTATCTTTATTTCTTATTCCATGGACTTAGTCTTCTATTAACAAACTAAGTAACAGAAGATTTGAAAAACCAAATCCAACCAAAAAAGCAGGGTAAGTAAAAATTTAGCTTTTTTTTTGGAGAAACATTGTGTCGCTATTGCCTTATGTTTTTATTAAAAACATTCTATTCGATTTAGTGGAATATGGATCAATATATCGAAACCAGATGTCTCATCATGATACAATATAATATTGTTGCTTTCAGCCAACAATTTGATATTTGTTGATACTTCAAAAAATGCTGTGATATGGTATCAATTCTATTATTTAGTGGAATATTGATCGATCAATATATTGTTGATACTTCAAGCTAATTCTTAAAGTTTCAATTCAGTGAAATATTGATTGATTTGTCAATATAAATTTTTTTTGCTTAATTTACAGAGCCAGTTTAATTTTAATGAGCTTAAAAATTCAACTGCAGTATATAATATGAAAAATGCACTTTAGTATTTAAAAAAATAAACAACAGGAGAAAAAATAAAATAACACAATTACTACAGAGTGACATAAACAGTTTTTTCTCTTTATTCTTGTTCTAAAGTCCACTGATATTGCATACTGTCAACTCTAATTATCAAAAATCAAAACCACTTTGATTTAGATGTTTAATAATAAGCTTTACTTTATTGATTGTTTAAAGAGGTTGACTTGAGGATTTCGCAATGTTTATTGATATGGTATCAGTTGTGTTCGATTTAGTGGAATATTGATCGGTCATTTTATTGTTGAAACTTCAAACTAATTCTTTGTTAAAGTTTAAATTCAATTCGATTTAGTGGAATATTCATTGGTTTGTCAATGTTAAGGTATTTTGTGCTTAAATGACAGAACCTGTTACATTTCAATTAGCTCAGAAATGCATCTGCAGTATATAATATGAAAAATGCACTAGTATATAAAAATAAACAATAGGTAAAACAAAAATCCAACTTCAACTTCTGCTTTGTTGTTGCATTCGGCAAGGCAATTGTACAGTGTGTTTCGGTGAGTAAATGAGAATATGTGCTTTAGCAGGAGTGCATAATTGAACTTAAAAATCTTTTTTTTAAGTAAATCAGATACAGTTGAAGTCAGAATTAGAATCAGAATTTCCCAAATGATGTTTAACAGAGCAATGGAATTTTCACAGTATGTCTGATAATGTTTTTACTTCTGGAGATGATCTTATTTGTTTTATTTCGGCTAGAATAAAAGCAGTTTTTAATTTATTTAAACACCATTTTAAAGACAAAATTATTAGCCTCTTTAAGCTAGATTTTTTTTTCAACTGTCTACAGAACAAATCATCGTTATAAAATAACTTGCCTAATCACCCTAACCTGCCTAGTTATCCCAATTAACCTAGTTAAGCCTTTAAAAGTCACTTTAAGCTGTATAAAAGTGTCTTGAAAAATATCTAGTCAAATTTTATTTACTGTCATCATGACACAGATAAAATAAAACTATTTTTATTGAGTTATTATATAAGTATTTATATTGAGTTTCTAAAACTATTATGTTTAGAAATGTGTTGAAAAAATCTGCTCTCCGTTAAACAGAAATTGGGGAAAAAATAAACAGGAGGGGGCTAATAATTCTGACTTCAACTGTACATCATATCATTAGTCATTTGACTGATATATTGATCCATAACTATTCATTGGATCACAATACCTTTATAAAAGACAAATAATAGATAGATGGTTGTCCTCACCAACAAGAGGAGTTATAGCCGATGTGAAGACGGAACTGCTCTGGACAATAAAAGTCATTCCCGCACCAACCAGAATTGCAATATATCCAGTCAGCCAAGCAAATGGAAAAGGGAAATCTGTACAAACAAAGAAAACATCATTGAAAAACATCTGTATTCATCTAAAAATCACACTCTGGAAAAAATGCTGGTCTGTTTCAACACTATTTAGTGTACTGCAGAGTGAAAACTAATTATTTTTACTAATAATTTTTAACAATTTATTATACTAATTTATTTTCAAGTCAGTGGTTGCGTTTGGACATATTTCACTCTATTAGCTATTGTTTTCATAAATTTAAATGCATTTTAATTATGCAAACTGTATCGTTTCATATCTATTTGACTCTAAAGTATCTCAATAATGCTGACCTGTGTTCACTATCTTCTTGATCACAACAGCAACCTGTCCCTTGAGCATCGAATTCAGCAGCTTCACAATACAAATGAGGCAAGTGCACAGAATGAGCAGAGAACCCGCCAGCAGAATCAGACCCACCGCCAGGTCCGAAAGGCTCGTGTTCACGAAAATGTGACTGCCTGTGTGAATAGAGAATAACGTAAAAGAGTGAGTGTCTTGTTTGAGCACTGTACTCATTTTACATTTAGACGATTATCAGTGTTAATATCATCGGTAGAGAAGTCATTTTTAAACTCACATTTTTTAATATTTATAATTTCTGTAACATTCTTCAATTCCCAACAAAGATCAGTGCAGTTTGTTGTGGTCACATTCTGGAGAGTCTATAAAATGACACAACAGAAAAATGAGAATGAGGTTTTGACACAAAATAATGACTTTTTTTATTCTGTTTAATTCCGATCATTACCGTGTTTGAGGCTGTGTGGCACCAGACCTTGATAAGAGATTTATTTCTGGCTTCGGGATCGCCAACCGCAATGCCGCTTATCACAGTCTCGTCCAGCTGAAAGATAAAACATTAATATGCGAATTATGCATATTTATTTGTCTAATCTCACGAATAGTTTACTATTATTAACCTTTCTGAACCGCAACCCTTGTAACTTTGTACTGTACATAGGGGCAATATAAGTTGCATGGGGTAATTCACATTCTTGCTCTGTTATTAATGATTCTACCTGCTTTCAACATACCGACAGAACAAATACACTCTTACATACCTGAATGATTGAGTGGGTGAGCGGATCGGTGATAACATTTAGGAGAGCTGGTGCATTTTCTCCACTCTCTATGTTAAACGATTTCACGATGAGGCTCGTAACCTTGACCAGGTAACCCGAGGCCACTTCCAGAGGCAGCAGCACCAGGACTGAGAGCCAGTTAAAGAAATCATGCACAGTGGCTCCTGCAAATGCCCTGCACACAAAAAAATAATCATATCCCAATTAAATATAATTAATATCTACATACTTAATGATTACAGTATTGTATGATTCTATGAAATTAAGTTTTCGCTCAATTATGACAGAATAATTCCCCAGTCATTTGCTCTTTGACGCTAAGTCTAAGTCAGTTGTTTAAACTAGGGCCCGTGGGCAAAAGTTGGCCCAAAATAACTTTTTATTTGGCCCGCCATCCCATCTGAGAAGAGAGGGAGAATGATAGGGAGGGTTTAGAGATTTTCCATTAAAATGTTACGTACATTTTTGTTTCTTTTATTGTTAAAAGCTAACTGAAATTAAATGTTTCGATTAAACGGTGTAAATTAATAAGATTTTATTTAAATGTACATGCTGTGACAATGCAGAGAATTTGGTGAGCTAATCAAGTCAAGGGCAGATTCTGCTTGACTAATGTATTCAGCATTGAGCTTGTCAATGTTTTTATTGCAATAAGTTATCACTTTAAAAGCTATACTGCATTAGATAAAACAATTTAAATGAATGTTTTCAATTTATTTTGAAATGTTATGAAATAAGATATGAAATGACACATGACAACTTAATGTAATACAGTTTGGTATAATTATCTTTGGCCAACGGCTCTCAAAGATATTTGGTTTTTGGCACTTTTTAAGAAACCGTTTGAGCAGCCCTGCTTTAACTTATGAATTAAACTATAAGCTATAAAATTGTTATTTCTGGTTGTTCTTTCCATTTAAAATGCCCAGTTCTTTATTAATGGCTTTGTGTTTGTTTTTTTGTTATAGGAACATTATTGAGCAAATTAAGGAAATATTCAATTTGACCATTTTTCAAACATAATGGTACTCTTTTTTTCCTTTTCCATTTCTTTTTTCCTCTTTGTTTTCATAATTTTCATTAATTATGTATCTATGCAGTGTATGTAATGTTTATTATTATTTTTTAAAATGTAAAAAACTTTAAATAAAGTATAATATATATATATATATATATATATATATATATATATATATATATATATATATATATATATATATATATATATATATATAATGAATATCTGTGAACTTTGCAAACTTTTGCAAATGAACTGACTTGATTTCCCAGATATGATCCTTGTAGCAAACAAGCAAAAAATAAATAAATTGGACAATACATAGGAAAATAAATTTTTGTTGTCCCAACATCAATTGGATAAGTTAACTTAACAAATGTTAGTGAATTAAACATGAAACAATTAAGTTGACCCCAAAAAATCTCAAAAATTGCTTTGTTTCAGTTCACTTGAAATAAGTAGTTTGAACAAGCTGCAAACATAATATTTGAGTGTATATTCTGAATCCTCTAAAGCGATGATCTCAAACTCAATTTCTTGAGAGCCAGAGCTCTGCATAGCTTAGCTTCAATCACCTCCAAATCACACTTGTTTAATAGTCGATGGTAGTCCTGAACACCTTGATTAATTGGATCAGCTGTGTTTGATTAGGGTTGGAGCAAAACTGTGCAGAGCTGTGGCCCTCCAGGATTCCAGTTTGACACCTATGATCTAAAGCAGGGGTGCTCAACCCTGTTCCTAGAGAATTTCCTTCATGCAGGTTTCAGTTGCTACCCATTTCAAACACACCTGCCTGTAATTATGAAGTGCTGTTCAGGTCCTAATTAATTGGTTCAGGTGTGTTTGATCAGAGTGGGAGCTGAGCTTTGCAGGAAGGTAGATCTCCAGGAACCGGGTTGAGCAGCCCTGATCTAAAGCATTACATGATCAACAATTGAGAAATAAATATGCTCTGTTAATTTTCCTATAAGATTGTTTGTTCATATCTTACCTACGGAACTTGTTCCTGTCCCCAACTTGTGTAATGGCTACAAGAGTGTTGGTGACGGATGTGCCGATGTTTGTGCCCATAATGATGGGAACAGCAGTTGCGACCTCCAGCACTGTTGAAGAGTAGTTTCTGTTAATTAGTATTCACATTTCACAATTTACTTCCATTTTACTTGTTCTGACATTCGATTAGACGATGCTTTACTTAATAATGAGATTCATCAAATAAGTTCAGTATTGTTCACACATTGTGCTTTAAAGTAATATGCTCAAGTAAAATACAAGTTTAAATCTCAAAGACATTTACAAATATAAATCAATATTAAATACTGCATATGTCATAATTAGTTATTAGAATACAATTTCAAATTTACACATTCAATATTTTTTTAATACTCATAATCTTCTAATAATCAATTTTATTGTATCAAATAATATCATCTGATACTCACTTCCAGAAGAGACCATGCTGACCACAATAGATGAGGATGTGCTGGAGCTCTGGACTAGCAGAGTGACCAGCATCCCGATTACCAGGCCTGCCAAAGGATTTGAGAGCACCTTATTTTCCTGGAAAATGTCCCCTGCTGCTTTTCCTGAAAAAAAAAAAAAACACCCAATTTTAAGGCATAATCCAGGAAAGTGTGTACAGCAAATCTTTAACAATTATAAAAATACATGATTACAACATATTTGTAAATTTTGTACACTAATTTGAAGAACCACAAAAACATGTATTGATAATGTACTCTAAAAGATATCACCAGTATGAGTCTTGTAGTGAAGAGCATGTTTTACTCAACCTAAAAATCTTGGTAACTATATTCTTGTGTATTTGTAATTTTAATGTATACCTCCAACAAGCTGGAAAGCTGAGCTTAGGACGTCCAGAGAGCAAACAAACATGTAGAGCAAACCAAGCAGCATGATCAGTTTTGCTGCTGTAGTAAAAACTCTCAGGACCTTCTTTTTAGTGTCCAGATCTAAACAAATATCAGACAGAAAAAAAACAAATACGATAAAAATCATGGTTGTTCCACTGAATGTTGATTTCTTCACACTTCTGAAATGTATAGTAGTACTGTGTTGCTTTGTTGAGTTCTGTTCTGTTTAAATGCACCAAAATACATTGCCTATATTCACTGAAACATTGAAAAAAAAATCTTTTTCAAAATGGGGTGTACTCAATTATGCAGAGCACTGTAGATTAATTATTAGAAACATGCCTGAAAACCTTTTTGTTTGTTATTTTAAGGCCAAAAACAACTTATTTTAAATATAGAAAAAAATGTCATCAGTGTGCACTAAAATGGGGACTTTTATTTGGTGAAATGCATTTATCAAAAGCAAACAGAAGGCTGAATGCATGTAAAAAAATATATAAATGTAATTTATTTTTAAATGAGCACAAAAGTTTTTTTAACCAAGCAGGTTTTGATCATGTTAATCATTTAGAGGCTGATACAGTACAGAATAGAATAAATACATTTGTATATGCTGTAAAACTAGTAATTATTAAGGTTGACTGAAAGAATATCACTGCCAGCCTTATAAACAAATGTCCACCCTACCTGCCCATTTCACCCCGGTGTCCTGCAGCTCCATCATTTCCCAGGGATCATCCTCAATCAGAGCCGCTGTAGAAACAGCCGGAGCCATAGACAGAGACTTCTTTCTGGCACCTGAGAGAACAGCTTTCATTTAGATTTTAAAGCACTCTATGCACAAACAGTGCTTGCACTTTTATTTTAATGGTGCTTTTCAGATATTCTTTTGACTATAAGTAATTTGCAAGTTAAATTCTCTCTTAGACTCTTCATATATTATTAGTAGAATATTAAGACTAGTAGGATACTTTCAAAGTTGCTTATATGGTGGGGGAACCATATATTCACATATTCATACATACCGTCAAGTGTTTCTGGTTGTTTTTCGTCAGATTCATGCTCATGCTTTGGACGTGGTGCCATTGTCTGTGAAAGACAAATTTTTCAGTTTGTCAGTTTTATTGAGGTCTTTTCAGTTTTATGGGCAGAATGATGTGTAATTGCTTGCGGCATCTTAACAAATGTACTAAAAATATTATCATTTCCTGATGTTCACGGCGATACTGCAGTCAGGTATAAAGATAAAACACACACACACACACACACACACACACACACACACACACACACACACACACACACACACACACACACACACACACACACAGTTGATGTCAGAAATATTAGCCCCCCCGAATTATTAGCCTCCTGTTAATTTTTTTTTACCCAGTTTTTGTTTAACGGAGAGGAAAAAAATTCTACACATTTCTAAACATAATAGTTTAATTACTCATTTCTAATAACTTATTTATTTTTATTTGACTAGATATTTTTCAAGACACTTCTATACAGCTTAAAGTGACATTTAAAGACCTAACTAGGTTCATTAGGTTAACTAGGCAGGTTAGGGTAATTAGGCAAGTTATTGTTTAATGATGGTTTGTTTTGTAGACTATTGAAAAATCTTCGAAAAACCTTAAAAAACCTTAAAATATTTAAAAAAAAATAGTTTTTAAAAAATTAAAAACTGCTTTTATTCTAGCCGAAAAAAGCAAATAAGCAAATAAATATTATCCGACATACAGTGAAAATTTCCTTGCTCTGTTAAAGTGTGTGTGTGTGCGTGTGTGTGTGTGTTTATATATATATATATATATATATATATATATATATATATATATATATATATATATATATATATATATATATATATATATACTGTTTAGTCAGATGTAGGTAAAGAATTTCTGTATTTCAGTTAAATACATAATAAGACAAATAATAAAATTATAAACTTGAACTTTCACATATTGTCGTACTTCGATTTTGTAGTACATGAATGAACACGACAGGGAGAGCTTCACAACAGTCAGAGTTTCCTCTTTGGATTAAACTCGCATGGTTTGTTGGTGTATTGATTTCTGCTCTGTGCCAAATAATTTCCACAGTGGTTCGGTGAACAAAATGTGAATTACTCCATGGTTCATCTTACTGTATGCGGCCATGTGTTTACTTTTTTTTTTTTAATCTGATGACTAATAAAAATCTGTAAATAGTACAAAGGAATTTCATTTTTTGAATGTTTTGGCTTTAAAGAAGGATAAAAAATGGCCAGGAAGAATTAAAGTAAGCAATGCTGTAAACAATACTTTTTTTCCTATGAAAACATAATAAAACCACTTAAATTTCTTTTGATTTAATGAATTTATTAGGTTTTATACTGGATTAAGTTTAGTAAAATCTTAATATTTGCTTTATTCTATAAAGGTCTGATAACATTTCTCAATTTTTTTAAAATATGTAATTTTTAATAAATAATAAATGTAATAGTTTTTTATTATCTGAAAATGGTAAAAAAAAGAATATATTTTAAACATGTCGGTTTTGGGCTATTTTATGCAAAAAGAAATGATAAAAATGCGGTTAAACTGTCAGCCATAGTTTGCAGAACAAGACAAAATTGATATTTTATTAACATAGAATTATAACAAAGAATACCTCTGGATAAATCAAGATCTCTAAATTAGTATCTTAGCTGTATCTGTGTGTTTATATGTATTTAAATAATGCCTAACACAGAAACAGAACTTTATTTTTTTTATTATTAGAATTTATGTACTTACCTGAGATGTAGTCAAGTTGCTTCTGCCCTTCTGAATTTCACGTGCAACACTTCTGTTCACTCTACGTTTCACCTGCTTTTCAGTTCAGTGACTTATCTACAGTCTGAAGCGTATCTCTCCTCCAACAGTCTTTCCTGAACTCTATGCACTTCTGTTTCCTTCAGTCCTGGCCTGAGCAGAAGCACTGGTGCTGATGGAGACCACGTTCAGATCCAGACTCAGCTGTGCTGTTCTTCAGAGTGGCTCAGTCCGGCCTCTGTTGGGTCACAGGCATTTATAGCCCTCCGCAGATCATCCAGGATTCCCCTGTTCCAAGGTTTACCACGGGACTGATAACACTGTGCGACAGGAAGTTTGTCTGTGTGTGTGTGTGTGTGTGTGTGTGTGTGTGTGTGTCTGCGTGTGTGCATGCGCATGTGTGTGTGTGTGCTGTGCATGGTTCAAAGTGTCCGCTGTGGCATCAGATAAAGTGGATTTTAAAAGGTAAAATATATATATAAAAGTCCTTATTAGTAGTTATGATGGTAATACACAGTATGGCCTTTATTACTGTAAGTTACATATATACTGTATTTCTGTTTTAGATCAAATACTGTTTAATGTGGCTTTATTAAAATGTGTGTGTATGTATATTTGTATATTTTGTTATATACACACACACACACACACAAACACACAAATTATTTTTGATATACATTACCAATTTATGTGTGATGAAAATATCATATTTAAAAGAAAAATGAAAAGTAACACATCTAATTAATCTAATTAACATTTTTTGTTAAAAATTTGATTTAAAATTAACAAAAAATGATTTTTATAATAGAAAATTCCACACCCACTATATTGCAGTTAAATTCATCTTTTTTTCTCTGTGCTTTTACATTGTAGATTGTGAAAAGAACCTTGAGAGAGGCTCAGTTGGGAACAACCATTTCTCCTCTGGCCAAACTTCTACAGTACCGGGGGCTCGTGAACACTGGACGTCCATCATGGAGAAGCTGCAGGTATGAGTAGTTCATCAGCAGGTGTACATGCTGGTCCATGACATCAATGCGGAGACTCGTCTGTCACTGTGGTCTTTCAGGAGTCAGTCTCATGCTCTCCACCCCTCCATGACTGCCACAGCATCTGCTCAGGATACGGCCTGGTCTAGGATTATGGAGACCTGGGGATAATGAAAAAAACAGACTAACATAAGCGAAGATGCCGTTCAAATTGTAATGTCTTCAGGGAAGTGTTCCTGGCTCCGGTTGCCATTATTAATGCAGATTAACAATCCTTTAGAGGATTTGGATTTTAAAAGCATTTGTGTTCTTGATTTCTTGATTTATTGCCACAATTTGTATAAAGCAAAAGCAAAAATACTTCATTTTATACACATTTTTTACAATTTAAAATATAAAAACTTTCATTTTAATTTCAAATTTACAGTTACAAAAAATTTGTCTAAATAATTCAGCTCCTGTTACTCTTCCATAACATCAAAAGGGCGTTTCTCCCCAAAATGGATGCTTTTAAAAATACAATCTATATTTTACACAATAAAATAAATCTGTAAAACAACAGCAAATGTTATTCCAATTATGCATTGTACAGTCATTTTATAAACTTTCCATCAACCTATTTCCATTATGTACAAAAAAATTATAGAAAAGTCCTTGTTTTTTTTTTTAAACTATCCAATTATTTGTGCCCTTCTTTGACCAATTTTAGGGCTATAAATGATAAGATTTCTGAAAAAAGCTCAATAAACTGCTGGTTCTAAGGAGAGTATGAGGACACAACTAATGTGTGTGTGTGTGTGTGTGTGTGTGTGTGTGTGTGTGTGTGTGTGTGTGTGTGTGTATGTAGGGCACTGATCAATGCATGATCATCCCTACTGACCCCACATCCCACTGCATCACATGACCATTCCTCTCTGAATGAATGAGATCATGAATATGAACATGGTGGAAACTTCCACTCATCCATCCATTTCCCAAACCCGATTGTAGATGTGAGGATGCAGAAGCCAATTCTCACTTCAAACACAGAGAAATAACCTTCAAAAATGACCCGTCCAAAAACAAAACAAATTCCCCATTTCTATATTAGCTATTAAGAGTCACGAGTAGAATATAATTAACTTGTAAATTTAATCTTATCTTAGTCTAGTAATGCAGAATGCCAGTTTGTCCTGCCGATGTGTTTCTAGTTTTGGCCTGTCAGTAAAGCTCTGAAGAGTGAAACTGCACTGCTCTCTGCTGGTTTAAAAGCACTGCTTGAGTTAGCACTGCTCTGCTGTTAAGTGTTCATTTAGTTGGGATAACTGAAAATAACTCCTATTTTTGGAAGAATCATATGAAACATATTTAGTTGTTAACTTTTTGCATACTAATACACTCCCATTACTGATTCAAAATAAAACATGGCTGATTGTAAAATGTAATACACATAAAACAGTAAATATTGTGAAATATACAGTAATTTCAGCTTTAAATAACACTGAAAAAAACATATTTTGGATTTACAAATTTATTTTAAGGTAGGTGGTTGCAAACAATTTATTTGGGCTGATTTATTTAAACAAACAAATTAAGTTGAACATTACTAAATTCAATTAGTTTGTTTAAATTCAGCCCAAATAAACAGTTTGCAACCACTTACCTTAAAATATGTAGTAAACTGATTTGATCATATGTAGAATTGTACTTTATTCCTGTGATGGCAAAACTGTATTTTCATCATCCTTACTCCAGTCCTCAGTGTCACATAAGCCTTCAGAGATCATTTTAATGTGCAGATATTCACTTCTTAATATATATTTCTGACGTGCTGAGCTGTGCTGCTTCGTGTTTTTATTGAAACCGATATTGTAATGTAACAAATGCTGTTATTCAAGACCAATAATAATCATAATAGAGCAGCAAATCAGAATTATATCAAATGTTTAAATATGTTGTATTTACATACATGACAATTATTCAAATTAAAAACAATAATTGACTAAATTATTGCTTTCACTGTTTTTTACATAGTTTTAAGCTACACTCCATAATTTTATTGTTACCAAAACCTTGGGTCAAATAGGCAAACTCATCCATTGGGATAAAATTTAATTTCAATTAATTGAAAAAATAGCCCATCGTTGTTACAACAACCCAGCATTTTTACACTGCATATCAAAGGTAATGGTTACTATTTTATTTAAAAAAAATAATTTAATAAAGTTTTAAAAGTTTAAACTAAGTCTAAATAGTCTAAATTTAATACATAAAACAGTAAATGTTGTGAAACGTACAGTATCTTTAGCTTTAAATACATTGAAAACATTTTTTAGTTAAGTGGTTGCAAGTAGTTAAATTAAGTCTAAATAGTGTTTAGAACATAAGCTGAAATTATAGAATAAATGTATTAAACATTTGAAATCAAAACAAATATTTGCTTAATATTTTTAGTCGTTCTTATAAGCATAGACAGACATATCGATTACTCTAAAAATAGTAGCCTATGCACAGACAGACCGACTCTGTGACCTGACAGGGAACAGTAGGTAATACAGTTCTGTTTGGAGCTTATCGATTATACACTGATTAAAGGATTTTCACAGTTTAGACAAATGGAGCCACCAGCTGATGTCACTTCAGTTTTCTCCTCTTCTAAAACCGGCCCTCCAGGACCGAGTTTGAACACCCCTGATTTACAGCATCATTCAGAAATCATTCTACAGTATATTCGGATGTCTTATTATTTTAAAAAGGGTTGTGCTGCTGAATACTTTTGTTGATTTTTATTGACAGTTCTTTGATGCATAGAAAGTTCAACATAAATTGTTCCACTGAGCAATATTGTTTATTTAAAAGGCATTTTAAGTTTTTGCAGTTATATTGTAGAATAACCATGACAAATCAACATATCTCTTACATTTATTTGTAGTGCTTTGCTCAGCACTCTACGTGCTTTACTGTGTATCACCTTCCAGCTTCCAGTAAACAGTTCTTAAAAGACATGTTTGTTTCTTAAAAGGAAAAAAACTATTTTTATTGTTATTTTGTGAAAAAAACAATTTAGAACTTTTAAAAATCATACATTTTCAACCTGAAAATTACACTTCCTCTGTTTAACATTGTTAATAACTGTTTAATATGGTTTATAACTGTTTAGATTTTTATAATAACTGTTTATGGTTCATACACACTAATGAAATAAATCTGTAAAATAACAGCATATTTTATTCCATTTATGCATTTTACTGTATAGGCTAGTTTTATAAACCCTTTCATCAACCCAAAACACAACGCAATTAAGAACAAATTTGAGATTTGTATTGTGCTTCAGTTTCCCTCACAATACAAAGAGATGTGATTTAAATGAATTGGATTACTAAATTGGCTGTATCTATGTGTGTGTTTTTGTGTGAGTGAGCGAGCGAGCGAAAGAAAGAAAGAAAGAAAGAAAGAAAGAAAGAAAGAAAGAAAGAAAGAAAGAAAGAAAGAAAGAAAGAAAGAAAGAGAAAGAAAAAAAGTTTATGGATGTTTCTCAGTAGTGGGATGTGCCTGAAAGGGTCTACTAAAAACATATGCTGGAATAGTTGGCGGTTCATTCCACTGGGGTGACCCCTGATTAATAAGGGACTAGCCGAAGGAAAATAAATGAACTTGTATTGCGTGACAAACAAAAGGGACACATTTGAGTCCTTTAAAGAGTCATTTTCTACTATAAGTTGCAAGTTTCTTATGTTAAACACAGAAGATATTTTGAGAAATAAAATATCCTCCTGACACCTAAAGAATTTTTTTCTTTTTTTTTTCCTGTGATTTCCTACATCCTTTGGGTTAAAAAAATTCTACAATTTAGAGTTTTTACATTTTGTTTTTATTTTTAATTTTTCTGCATGTCCACTGTAGTGGACCACAGGACCATTTTAGTTCAAAACGACCACCAAACTCGGACAACAAAACTGTACAGGATATGGCTGTAAAGGGATATTAATCCAATATTAATGTAACAAAAACTAAACAAAAGCCATTTTATCCTTTTTTATTAAAATTCCTGAAATGGTTTAGTCTGAAAGAGAGCCGAACTCAAAAAAAAAAAAAAAAAAAAAAAAAAAGAAGTGATGGTAATCCAAAACATACTCGACATTAAAGCTATTTAAAACTGATTGTCAGTCTCTAATTGACAGACTCTGAATCAGTCTCCCTCAACTATCCTATAAAGAATCCTTTCTGCTTCAGTTCTGCCCCTACAACATGCAGTCATTAATTACATTAAGATGGTCCTGATGTCCACTATAGTGGACATTTAAAAAAGGATGATATTTTGAAACACAAACAAGTTAACAGCTTTGAAAGCTAAATGTATTGTTTCTGACACTTTAATAAACAAATATATATATATATATATATATATATATATATATATATATATATATATATATATATATATATATATATATATAAATATATATATATATATATATATATATATGTAATAATAACGGTAAAACGTTTAAAAGGCTAAATTTCACATACCTCTCTCCTTCTCATAAAATGTGCTCATTTGTATGCTGGCCATTTCGGATGCAGTGTAAAAACTTATGAAGTGGTTCCTAGCCAATCAAATGACATATCAGTAGAAAGCCTAGGATGTCCTCCAAACAGGACAACAGGACTTGACAGAGTAGCTCAAAAAATTCTAAGACAATTCATGAAAACACAATGTCCACTATACAGGGCACAAGTCAATGGGTGGGGTCTCAGGACGATATATTCGGTGGTCTTTGACCTCCATAGTATTTTTTATTTGCTCACTCGTTGCTATTCCATGTCAAGTCGCATGATGGCAGTGAAAGCTATTCATGAACGCATTTCTCACAGTCGAGGAAGACGCTTCCAGTAGATTTGACATTTGTGTGAAGAGATGAAGTGTGTGCTGTAACACTGCAGTCAAAGATACAGTATCGCTTATACAATGTCCCAGCAGACTCCAGCGGACTCCGAACGACCAGGACATGCAGGAAATTTGGTAACAAACATTTATAAGACAGACAAATACAGAATGTGGTTTATGAACTGTAATGCAAGTTATAATGTTGACTACTGCTGATCTTCACCATTACACCATATATTTGTCAGATCTTATAAATGTATGCACGTTTACACAATCTGTCGTTTAAAATATGTTATTATATCCTTTTTTGTTTGAGTTTATATCTTTATTAGTAATGTTTAGGTTGTAATTGTAATGATAACTGTAACATATTGATTATTTGTTGATATTTTAATATTATTTTAGCTTTTAATCTTAGTTTAGCCTATTTATTTATTCATTTATAACTATATGCAAACTATATATGGTATAATGAATCATTATTTTCAGGTCTGAAGTAAAAAGGTGGCATGACAGTTTAATTAAATAGGGTTTAATGAATGTGTATGCAGGGACCTTTAAGAATGGACTACACTCCCACAGAAGAGGAGAGGAGAGTGTTCAGAGAGTGCAACCAGGAAAGCTTCTGGTACAGTTGTGAGTGAACATATGATTTTTATTCATTATGCTCATCGTTTTATTAAAGGGGCTAGTTAAAATAAAACTACTATAAACTAATAAAACGAAAATCACATCTTGCATGGGATGATTGTGATTAAATTAACAGAAGAGATTTATTTTGGGGGAAAATCATCCCTTGTTTTTGTCTTTACAGCTCTGCCCATATCTGTCGTCAGCATGGCTGTCACTCAGTTGCTTATTTCTAGAGGTGAGTTTATACTTTATATGCATTTAATAATGTGATGTTGCTTTGTTTTATACTTATATCAACTGAATCAATTAGTTATGTCGTCATTATAACATATAACATGTATTATAATAATTAGGGCTGCACAATATATAATTTCAGCATCGATATCACAATGTGCGCATATGCAATGGTGACATCTCAGGATCTGCAATGTTGAGTTGAGATTATAGTTTTCTAGAAACGGCAATTGCATAGTGTGACTTAAACTTTAATCATACCTGTCAGCATTAAGATGTGTCAATAAAGGATACGCCCACCATAATAAGTGATACCAAAAAAGTCCTTAAATTACTAAATATGTTCTTCTGGAGCTGTTTCATTGTAAATAAACAGTTAAACTGTAATTATACTGTAATTATTATTATTTACAAAAGGAAAAATAAATAGTATATGAATGTTTTGAGGATTGCATAGGATGGGTGACGGCACCTGTAATAAAAAGGAAAGGGAATCCTGCCGTTTTTATATTTATTTCAAAGTGTTTTCATGCCTAAATAAAACTAAAGCACAGAACAGACTCACATTTAACAGCAAGGAGCGGCCTCTGGTGGTTCGGCGGTATGGGTTACTTATAGGGAGGATCGACTCTTTAATGTTTATTGTCACCCTACAGAGAAAGACTGAAAATATGGGAAAATACCTTTACGGGATGATAGCAGGATAGAACTGTAAAATATGGGAGAAACCCGGGAAAAACGAGAGGGTTGACGGGTATGGACTATAATAGAGTAAAAAATATCACTTACATGTGTTTTTAAGACCTGTGTTTGTGTAAGCATTTGAGGACAGTTTAAAGCATTCAGGCACAAGAAATATTCGCGTTTGTAGATTTAATAAAGGTAAAATTTATTGAATTATTAATTTGTTGAAGACTATTCAGTGTTGTTTTACATTTTATTATTCAATTTCTGTAGCTGAATACTATTAAAACACCCAAGAAAATTGTAAAGCACTTTTTTTTCACTGGTATCTTTGATCCATTGTATTCATCAATGCATGAAATTAGTTCATTTATTTTATGTATATGATTTAGTCCCCTCCAGAATCATCCCAATCAAACTAAATTACTGAATTATTTACAAGTAGAGCTATTAAAGTCAATATACACTACCGGCCAAAAGTTTAGGGTCAGTATTTTTTCTTTTTTTCCTTTTTTTTTCTTTTGAAAATGATTTTGTTCATCAAGAATAATTACAAATAATAATAATTACATTTATTAAATGTAAAAAAAATGTAAATATTTATTTATTACTTTTATTATTACTTTTTGTATGTAGTTTAAATGAAATTATTAGTCCAGTCATTATTGCTTTTATTACTATTACCATTCATATAATAAAAATAATATTATTAATAATTAAAACAATAAAAATTCTTATTAGAGTGCTTTTGAAGGATCATGTGACTCGGAAGATTGGAGTAATGAAGCTGAAAATTCACCATCAAAATCTTTTGACTGGTAGTGGATATTGTAGACAAACAAAATATTACAATGTCATATTTTCCCAATATCAAGCAGCCCAACACTAAAATTCTAAAGTTTGGGGTCAGTGAGACTTTTTTGGAAAAAAAAAAAAAAAAAAGTAATACACAGTAATACTTTATTTAATACTTTTTTATTGTTGCACAAAATTTCAAACATTTTAACCTAACCTAATTAAACGCATTACTTTTTAAAAACATACAGAAAAAAACATATTAGACAGCACAACTGCTTTCATTGATAATAATATTGTTTTAATATTTTTAGTATATATTAAAATAGAAAAAAATGTATTTTTATATAATTTTATGGTATTACTATTTCGCTGTATATTTGTTCAAATAAATGCAGTAAGCTTAAGAGACTTATAAAACAGAAATATTGCAACAACACTGAACCTTTAAATGTTTTTATTTATTCATTTATTTTTTGTTTCAGGTGCTCTTAGTGCTTCTGGCAGATTTGGATCTTTGCCCAAATTAGCTTGTGAGTAACATTTGCAGTCTTTGCTGTAACTGTGAGCCGGTTCATTGATATTAACTATTAAACATTTGTATGTGTTAAATAAATGTTAGTTGCTGGTTTTTGTGGCTATGTTGGAGGAAAGATGTCATACATGAAGAAATGCATTGAGAAGTTTAAGAACTTGGAGAATTCACCTCTTGGAGAGGCACTGAGACAGCAACAGCGCCACCAACATCAAAAGTGAGAAACACACACAAACAGACACAACTGAACACGACATATACTGTAAAGAAGAGTTATAATTTCTGTGCTACTGACATTATCACAAAGTGTTGCAAGCATATATATATATATATATATATATATATATATATATATATATATATATATATATATATATATATATATATATATATATTTTTTTTTTTTTTTCTTTTTTCTATTTTTTTTTTTTTTTTTTGGGGGGGGTAGTGATGTGCATTGCTAAGCACTTCATAAAAAAAAAAAACTTTAAAAGTGGTTTTAGCAATATTTAGATTTTCAAAACCGTCAGATTAAAGATTTTAGTCTTAATCCAAAAAGGTTTATCCTAACCATTTGTTCCATTAAACAATGGAAAGCTTATTTGATCAGCTTTCATGTGATGTATAAATCTAAATTCTAAAATATTAACTCTTATGACCTTTTTTTATGTTAAAAAAAGAATAATAATAAAAATTAAACAACAATAACAACAATGTTGAAACTAAAATTCAAATTTAAGAAAATATTTTTAAATATTAATAAGATAGTAGTGGGTGACGCAGTGGCCCAGTAGGTAGTGCTTTCGCCTCACATCAAGAATTTTAGTTTCAACATTGTTGTTACTGTTGTTTCATTTTTATTATTATTCCCGAGTCTCGGCTGGGTCAGTTAGTGTTTCTGTGTGGAGTTTGCATGTTTCTGTATGGAGTTTGCTCCGGTTTCCCCCACAGTCTAAAGACATGCGGTACAGGTGAATTGGGTAGGCTAAATTTTCCATAGTGTGTGAGTGTGAATGAGTGTGTATTGATGTTTCCCAGAGATGGGTTGTGGCTGGAAGGGCATCGGCTGCGTAAAGCATGTGCTGGATAAGTTGGTGGTTCATTCCGCTGTGGCAACCCCAGAACAATAAAGGGACTAAGTCAAAAAAATGAATGAATGAATGAATAAGATAGTATCATATTATAAAGTGTATAATAGTATGTCAGTTATGCTAAAATAGCATTAACGATTACACATAAGTCCTGTTCCAACGCTTTTAAAATAAATTGGTTTTATGCTAATCTGTTATTTCCAGGTTCACTCAAGATCAGTCAGAGCTGAGTGATCCAAACAAAGCTGATTTTGAGCCTGCCTTTCAGCTTGAAGATCAGAAGGATCAGTCCTTCTCCTATGACAGAGATTTCACATACTCTGACCCTATGATGACCTCATCAACACAAAATACAGGCGAGTTTAAGCACCTTCATCTATTCACATTCAAAACTGCAGTGGTGCTCTTAGGGCGTACTCACTTTATGTGCAGTTGCCTTGACCCGGGGCAAAGCACGCTTGTCCCCCCTCCTTTCTTCCCCGACGGCCCGCACTCACATTTTATTCGGGCCTGGGCACGCTTACATCATCGATGATGTGCTGTTCAGTAGAGAAACGCTATGGCTCAGCACAGTGGAGATTTCTTACTGTCATATTGTTTAAGTCGTTTAATATGCAGCGACACGTAGTCAAATATTTCACAGAACAGATCACAGACACTTTTGACACTCATAAACAGTCTTCGTGTTGCAGGAATTAGGAGGTTTGCTGAAGGTGCATCTGTCATGCAGTGAGGGGTTTGCGTCTCTAATAATCTATGACAGTTTGCGTTCATTGAACTGTAAGAATGATTATTTTTGCATATGAAACAGTCCCTTAAAAGTTGTGTCTCGCTTTCAGTTTCAGGCTCAGGCCTGTTTTTCACTCACACACAAGCGTACCTCGCCAAAGCCCAAGTGAACCATGCCTGAGCCCGATTCAGAGCACTCACACTTCTCAAACGATCTGGGAAACGGGCCTGGGCACGGTTCGGAGAGCATAGTGTGAGTAGGCCCTTATAGTGCCCCTATTATGCTTTATTATTACTCTACTCTCTGGAATACTTGATTCTGATTGATCAATAATGAAATTCCAAGCAATGTATTTTTTCTATAACAACCCATTAAACTAATAACACATGCTTGTCCGTCTACTACACAGATGTCAAAGTCAATTCCTGGAGAGCTGCAGCTCTGCACAGTTTTGCTCCAGCCCTAATCAGACACAGCTGATCCAAATAATCGAGGTGTTCAAAAGAGTCTTGAACACTTTAATTAGTGTGGATCCCAGGCGTAATTGGGACCCTTAGACTGCAGATTTTATTAATCAATACATTACAGAAGGCGAAGCAGTGGTGCAGTAGGTAGTGCTGTTGCCTAACAGCAAGAAGGCTGCTGAGTCGCTGGTTCGAGCCTCGACTCAGTTGGCGTTTCTGTGTGGAGTTTGCATGTTCTCCCTGCGTTCGCGTGGGTTTCCTCTGGGTGCTCTGGTTTCCCCCATAGTCCAAAGACATGCGGTACAGGTGAATTGGGTAGGCTAAATTGTCCGAAGTGTATGAGTGTGTGTGTGGATGTTTCCCAGAGAAAGATTGCGGCTGGAAGGGCATCCGCTGCATAAAAAACTTGCTGGATAAGTTGGCGGTTCATTCCGCTGTGGCGACCCCGGATTAATAAAGGGACTAAGCCGACAAGAAAATGAATGAATGAATGTTACAGAATTATTAATGTCATCAAATGATATTTTACAGCATCCTCCAATAACCCATCACACATTGAGGAGGACGTACAGGATAGACGTGTTCTGTATGGGGACCTGCGGAGTAAACACAGGGAAAACTATGAAGTCACAATGACTAAGAAATCAGAGATGCTGCTGAAGCCTTCTGAGAGGAGCTCGGTCACGAGAGGTGAGATACCACTGATACACTAAACCACTGTTCTATCCAGGGCTCATTTCTGTGCCTACTAAACTCAAGTTATTACTGTCGACTTCTAACAGTGTCATTGTGGTTCTAGAAACCACAGGTTGTGTGCTAAATAAATAAATTCAGTGGAATAGGCATTAATTATTTACTGACGTCAGTGGAATAATTGTGGGGCCAGGAGGACGTTTGTTAATACTGCATTATCCTACAGCTAAGATCAATGGAGAAAACGAAACAGGGTTTTCATAAATCTGCACTTACTGTGTGCTTCAGTTTCCTTTCTGTAGTTCATATATTATCGATGGTTAAAGCATTATAAGCCATTAAACGTGAAAGCGGTCATTTAATTTCATAATGTTTAATACTGTACTTCCTGCTGACCAATTGGTAAAGCCGAGGGGTTTAATGGATAGTGACAAATATGACGATTTAAAATGGCATTTCATCAATATTTTTTGAGTTACTGTGTGTTGATTATTATGAACTGATTATTGCTTTAAATATGAGAAGGTTTCAAAGATGTGATAAGATTTTTTGACATATAAACTGAATGGGACTTTAGATATTAAGTCAGTGTTTTTTTGCTTAGGAAATATAATAAAATATGTAGATATGAGGTTTATTACAAATATTTTGCCTTCTATGAAATTTGTATTCTTTTTTAAATATTTCTAAGTGATGTTTAATAGGGCAGGGACATTTTTCAAAGTATTTCCTATTATATTGTTTTCTAGAGAAAGTCTTATTTCTTTTAGTTTATTTAGTTTTGATATACACTAACAGACAAAAGTCTTGTCGTCAAACCCAGTTGTAAGAACAGCTAATAATAACTTGACTTCCAGTTGATCGTTTGGAAAAGTGTCAGAAGGTAGATTTTTTTCCTGATGAATCATCTGTTGAACTGCATCCCAATCATCACCAATACTGCAGAAGACCTATTGGAGCCCACATGGACCCAAGATTCTCACAGAAATCAGTCAAGTTTGGTGAAGGAAAAATCATGGTTTGGGGTTACATTCAGTATGGGGGTGTGTGAGAGACTGCATGGCAACATCACCAGCCTGAGGTATCAAGAAATATGTGCTGCCCATTACATTACAAACCCCCAGAGAGGGCACATTCTTCAGCAGGACGGCACTCCTTTTCATACTTGAGCCTCCTGAAATCAAAGAAGGTCAAGGTGCTCCAGGATTGGTAAGCCCAGGCACCCTACATGAACATTATTGAGCATGTGTGGGATAAGATGAAGGAGGAAGCATTGAAGATGAATCCAAAGAATCTTGATGAGCTCTGGGAGTCCTGCAAGAATGCTCTTCGCCATTCCAGATGACTTTATTAATAAGTTATTTGAATCATTGCAGGGATGTATGGATGCAGCCCTCCCAGCTCATAGTGCTCATACACAATATTAATTATTTTTTCCACTGCAGCCTGACTATATATTCTATACTGTACATTATTTCTGTTAAGAGACAAAACTTTTGTCTAAGCAAAGTCAGTCCTTACTGTCCTAATTAAAAATCAAGGCCTGATCATATTTTACTGTAGTGAAATACACAGAATCTAGAGGCTTTTGTCTTTCATATAAACTACCTCAGACACCAAATGATCAACTAGAAGTCAGGTCACGACTTGTCAGGTAGTGTATATTATTATATATCTTTTTTATTGTTATAATTTTTATTCAATATTAGATATATTTCTGTATTTATTTAAAATTTTTAACACAAAGGTCAGTATTATTAGCCTTAAGAAATAATTTTGTTTAATTGGCTTTAAAACAAACTGTGGTTGTCCAATGACTCACCTAAATCACTTGACGTTTTAACCTATTTAACTATTAAATATAGTTAGACCTGTTTATTTTTTCCCCAATTTCTGTTAAACGGAGAGAAGATTTTTTCAGCACATTTCTTAACATAATAGTTTTAATAACTGATTTATTTTATCTTTGCCATGATGACAGTACATAATATTTGACTAGATATTTTTCAAGACACTTCCAAACAGCTTAAAGTGACATTTAAAGGCTTAACTAGGGTAATTAGGTTAACTAGGCAGGATAGGGTAATTAGGCAAGTTATTGTGTAACAATGTGTTGTTTTGTGGACTATCGAAAATAAATCTAGCTTAAAGAGGCTAATCGTTTTGACCTTAAAATGCTATTTAAAAAATTAAAACTGCTTTTATTCTAGCCGAAATAAAACAAATAAGACTTTCTCCAGAAGAAAAAATATTATCAGACATACTGTGAAAATTTCCTTGCTCTGTTAAACATCATTTAGGAAATATTTAAAAAAGAAAAAAAATTAAAAGCGGGGCTTATAATTCTGACATCAACTGTACATATGTTTAATATGTTTATTTATTTAATTAATAAACAGGAAAGAAGAATATATATGGAGACAATTGGGAGGAGTGAACGCTGCTTCAACACTTTTTCTCAGTGTGAACCTGATATATTTAACAATACAGATGTGGAGCTGTCTGAGAGATGTCTGTTGTGTGAATTAAACGCTCAATGTTTTTTTTAAACACGCACAGCTTACTGTGATCTGTTTACAGCATCAACATTTGACATACCCTGAAGACAGTAGTAATGGTGCACTGTATTTCTCACTTTGATTGTTCATCGTGAGAAACCCTTCAAGTCAGCAGCAAATTTGGTCATTGTTGCAATCGTTTAATGCTTGAGAGTCATACACCCTTTAAACTAAGTATGGGCAATAATTTGAAGACAGAGTTGTTAAAAATAACACTTGGACAATTAAAAAAAATATGGTGTAAAAATATAGTTATTTACTAGTTGGCAGTTTGGCTAAGAAGAGAATGCGATATTTTGTGTGTGTGTGTGTTTTACTATAAATCCACAAAGATTATGTTGCATAATGTTAACTTAAATGTATAATCTGAAGCACAGCTGTGATCTTTCTCTTGAAGTTATAGTAAGTTTTTTAAGTGTCTTTGAAGTTGATTTTATTTTTACTTTTAAATATGTAATATGCAGCAGACATCTTCACATGTGGCTGATGAATCGTTGACAAAAGAGAAGTTTTCTGCCAGAGTTGGTTTTATGGCTCCATGAAAGCTAAATAAATAATAACAGTAATATTTTTGCAATGCAATGAAATAAATGAAAATGGAATTAAATAAAATTTTACAGTTTGATTTCCGTTATTTCATTTTTATAATTTGATAAAAATAATATATAAAATGTTGACAATTATTAAAATTTTATGAAATTACACCTGACAAAATTCTTGTCGCCTATCCAAGTTTTAGGAACAACAAATAATAACCTGACTTATAGATGATGATTTGGCATCAGAAGTGGCTTATATGAAAGTCAAGGCCTCTAGATTCTGTGTATTTCACTACAATAAAATATGATCAGGCCTTGATTTTTTTTATTCTTTATTTGGACAGTAAGGTCTGACTTTGCTTAGACAAAAGTTTTGTTACTTAACAGAAATAATGTATAGTATAGAAAATAAAGTCATGGTGCAGTGGAAACAGAATTAATATTGTGTTTGACTCCCATGAGCTTCTGCAATGGCTCAAATAACTGATTGATGAAATCATCTGGAATGGCAGAGAAAGCGTTCTTGCTGGACTCCCAGCATTTATCAAGATTCTCTGGATTCATCTTCAATGCCTCCTCCATCTTACCCCAGACATGCTCAATAATGTTCATGCCTGGTGACTGGGCTGGCCTTCTCTTTCAAGTTATTAATTGTTGCTCTTACAGCTGGGATCGACGACAAGACTTATGTCAAGTAGTGTAGTTGTTTCTCTAATAGGTTTGTATCATTTTTGCAATGAAATTATGCACAGTAGCAAATAAACATGCACACAGATAGACAGATAGATAGATAGATAGATAGATAGATAGATAGATAGATAGATAGATAGATAGATAGATAGATAGATAAATAGAGATAGATATAGATAGATAGAGATAGATGAAGATAGAGATAGATAGTTAGAGATAAAGATAGATAGAGATAGATAGAAAGAGATAGATAGATAATGATAGATAGAGATAGGAGATAGAGATAGATAGATAGATAGATAGATAGATAGATAGATAGAGATAGATAACGATAGATAGAGATAGATAGAAGGAGATAGAGATAGATAGATAGATAGATAGATAGATAGATAGATAGATAGATAGATAGATAGATAGATAGAGATAGAAAGAGATAGAGATAGATAGATAGATAGATAGATGGATGGATGGATGGATAGACGGATGGATGGATGGATAGATAGATGGATGATAGATAGATGATAGATAGATGGATGATAGATAGATGATAGATAGATAGATGATAGATAGATGGATGATAGATAGATGGATGATAGATAGATAGATGGATGGATAGATAGATAGATGATAGATAGATGGATGGATGATAGATAGATAGATAGATAGATAGATAGATAGATAGATAGATAGATAGATAGATAGATAGAATTGACTGAGAAAAAAACTCAAGTTGGGCATATTTATTTCTGTACACACGTTGTACATAAATACACAGAAATAATTTCTGAAAAATAAAAAGACGATGTCCCTGGGATTCGGGATGACATCAGACTAGATAGGGTATTGTAACTTCTGTAATAATATCAGTAATCACACACACACACGCTCTTCATAAGTGTCAGGTTTTCAGATCTAATAGGACCAATTGTTTTAGTACTGGGAGATCATTGCTTAATTCACCTACAATTTACACAAGATTTCAGTAAAAGAGAAAAGGCCTGCATAGAACTTGCTCAGTCTTCACACCTGACCCAGGACTGAAACAAAGATGAAAAAACGAACAACAACAACAAAAAAGACAAATTAAGTGGAAAAAAAACATTAAATTAAGATGAAGAAATGAGATCATCCTGCCCTGGAGAAAATACAACATTTGTGACGTTTTTAAAAAATAGATTTTGTCTTGTTAATGAACTTTTTCAGACGAACCTATAAATGTTCCGATTTGTAAGCAAAAGGACATCTCCGGGACAGAGAGAGAAACAATCACCCGAACACACAAACATCAGCTGTTCACCTTTTCAAACTGAGCAAGTAAACAAGGGTAAAAAAATAGTCAAGAGAACAGCCAAACCGATCCAATCTGTGCTGCATCACTATCGGTGCACCTGGACCACATCCGGCTCCTGAAAGTCCCGTCAGAGTGGAGAAGGTGCGTGGCACAGTCAGTGTTTGATTGTCTTTGTATATTGAAGATGAAGATGATCATTGGTGAGGAGAGATGGAGGAATATGTATTGTGCATTGACCGTGTCCATTTGGCTCTCAGCTACCAGATATCCTGCAATAGCTCCAACAGTCCACGTAGATTTCGTCTTCAGAATGAATACAGTAATCCTACAGTTGGTTCCACAGTGATGCCCGTCGGCAACATGGAGACGCTTAGACTCTGTGATGTGATCGTGGTGTTGTAGACGCTTCAGAAGTGACTTTGGTGACCTCTCCGCAGACTCTGCAGTCGATAAAAAGATCCCTCTGTGTGTTTTCATGCAGCCTGTGAACCAGGACGAAGTCTCCGTGTGTTTTGTGGGTTGTAAACAGTGTTTTTCTCAGTGAGGAGTGCTGAAAGTGGCGCTCGGATGTGAAGTGAGTCTCTTACTCGAGAGTGTGGAGGGAAAAAGGGACGAGGCCACGAGAGAAAAGCATGACAGTACCGGAGAAAGGCACCTCAGGAAGACCACGCCGCAGGCCTGCCGCTGCTAATCCGGCCTGAAGATGGGGATCTTGGGTAGAAACTCTATTAGGATCACCTATGAGAGAGAGAATATATGAAGAGCTCAGACGCAAAATCCTCTTAATCCATGAGACCTCTTTCTTGTAAATAAGCATTTTCTGTCAGGCTTTTCTGATTAGGTTTCATTTTATACGTAATCATAAGGATATTAGCTAGTGAATAAATTTGCTTTTTTTGGTAAATGTTACTTTAGACAATTCTTTGGTTTTTAACAAGGTAGACTTTCTTTAGCGTCAAAACCCGCTAAATCCACATCTGTTTTTTATGCAAAACCCTCTAAATCCACCTATCGGGACAAGACAGTGTAATTAGTAGAAAAATCACTAAAGATGCAATTAGAGATCATTTTACCAAACATAAAACACATAACACAAACCACCTGAAATTTAAAATATATCAATCTGTCAAGTAAGTGGCGGTTCATTCCACTGGGGTAACCCCTGATAAACCAGAATGTAAGCAGAAGAAAAATTATGTAGTACAAATAATGTAGTGTAAAAACATTGTGAAACATCAATATCTGTGCATTGTACATTACTAAATAATTTATATATATATACAGAATTTATTGAAGTAATATAAAGTGTATAGTTTTATACATCATATTTATCTTTTAAAACAGCTTGCATTAGCAAATAAAACACAAGGTAGGTCTACTGTGCAAAAAAGAGGATGTCTCTCTGAAGCGGTCATTTATTCATCCTCACCATACTCGAGGTCTCATTTGTGTCTCTTGTTTATCCTCATAGCATCCATTCAGGATAAAAGAGCGGTGAAATGGAGTTGCGGTGTAATGCAGCTATGGTATAACGGACTCATTCAAAGTAGCGCCGCTAATGTTATGTAGGCATGCTACACTTCCGCCTGTACATTGTGTTTTCTTTTTCTTATATTGAACAGAGTTTTGATGTACGGGACGTTTTCGTTTGCCATTCGAATCAGACAGGCTCATGGAGTTCATCAAACTTTATCTTTTAAAATTGAAATCAGAAGCGAAAAAAAACAACCTCTTTATAAAGCCGGCGTATCAGCGCGCTGCTACATTGAAAACATGATTCGTTTTGTGAATGATTGATTCTCTGGATTTATCGGTCTTTGCTGTCAAAGGCAGGTGGCGTTTAGCGGCTTGAGCAAACTGTTATTTTTTAATGCGCTGATGCTGCGATTTAGATGATTTTAAACTAAACTATTTGTTGAACATGTACTACATGTCTAAAGCATTCGCTCAATGTCATCATCTCATTTTTGGAGGAAATGACGTTTAGCGGCTTTAGTATCTGAACTCTTCGTATTGACCTTATTCTAAAATGCGGAAGTGCGCCTGTTTTCGCGATTGTTTCAGAACTTCCGATTCAGTTGCCTATGGGAGAAATGACTAAGAATAATAAACGGCAAAAAACGGTCAAACTACTTGCTCTACAAACAAATATTTGCATGACTATACAGACCAAGTAGAATCATATAATAAGAAAATATCAGTTTGCAACATAAAACAGTGAAAAGAGCAGTTTTTAATGTCTAAAACTTAATGGAATTGAATAACACTGGAAGTCTTGAGCCAAAAGATTTAAATGGCTGCGCCTGCTTGTCGGTGAAGAATAAGGTGAATAGAAATGTCAAATTGTCACTGTTATTAACAGAAATGAAATCTAAACTAACCATATGATTGTGTTAGCTTACATTGCTAGTTTTGTGGTCAACAATTTATCTTTGCATGTCGTTAAGATGAACATTTTTTTTTCTAATCTAATCTTTTCTAATCTGCCCTTCTAATCTGAAATTCAAATCTGTTTGTTTTCAGTTAAATTTTCATTACATCTGTCTGAGGTTTTGGGCGTGGCTAACATACTTAACCACGCCCCTCCAACTGTAAGTTTTGACAAACAGAAATGCTTCCATCCAGGAGGAGAATCTGTTAGGTTGTTGTAACTCCTCTAAAAACCGTTTTCCTGATCTGAATGAAATGCTTACTTTACTACATCCAATCAGCTCGCAGCAGAAAAAACAAGCCATACCCACTGTTTTCCCATTTAATATTCCATTTCTCTAGCAACTGCATCAGCAAAAAAAATTAATAATAATAAAATAAATTTTAAAAAAGGTTGCAGTTTTCGATTAATGCAGGCTTTAAAGGTTAAAGGGTTAGTTCACTCAAAAATAAAAATTATGTAATTAATTACTCCCGAATGTCATTTAAAAAAACTTGAAACCTACCCAAAAAAAAAAACATGGTCAAAACAGCATTTTTGGATGAGGAGCAATTAAATAAAAATCAATCCAATATAGTGTTTCAGCAACAAAACAAAACAAAAAATCAATGCTGAAGTTGAGTTGGTACTAAGTTTAAAGACTTTTCAGTATGTTGATGTTCTTCCAACTGAAACAAAATATTGAGTAGGGGACGGGTCTTTCTTCTTGTACATCATTCCCTCATAGTAAACTAACCATAAGAGTGGACGCGATTAAGAGTATTCTGCACACAATACATGGTCAAAACAGCCCATGTCTCTTCAGTGATTCAATCGGAATATTATGAAGCTACAAACCCTTTTAGCTTAGCATAAATCATTAATTCAGATTAGACCATTAGCATCTTGCTCAAAGTTTACAAAAAAGAGGTTGAATAATTTAATGAAAGTATAAGAATACTTTGAGCACACATAAAAAAAAAACTGCTTTATTCAACAGTTTCTTCTTCTCAGTGTCAGTATAGGTCATGTTGAAGTAGTATACTGTACCTCGGATGAGGAGCAGTAAAATAAAACTCAATTCAATACATACGGTTTCAGCAGAATATACATCACAATACTGAAGTCGAGTTGGCATGAAGTTTGAAGACTTATTTCAGTATGTTGATGTACTTCTAACTGAAATGGAATATTTAGTAGGAAGCGGGGCTTTCTTTTCATCTATCCCCTTATAGCAAACTAACCGTAAGAGTGGACGTGATTAAGAATATTCTGGCACAAAATACATGGTCAAAACAGCCCATGTCTTTTCAAAGGTTCAATTTGAATATTATGAAGCTACAAGCCCTTATAGCATAGCTTAGCGTAAATCATTGATTCAGATTAGACTATAAGCATATTGCTGGAAAAAAAAACACAAAACAAAAACTTCATTTATTAGTTTCTTCTCCCAGTGTCAGTATAGGGAGCACCGCTGATGTACCTTAGTTATGCCTGTGCTGTGTTTCAAATAGAGATTTTTACACACAGGCATCTGGGGTATAGGTTGGTGCAGTGTTTTTGTGAATACGCACCCTATACTGACATTGAGAAGAAGAAACTGTTGAATAAAATCTTTTCCAACTTGCCCCAACACACCTGCCTGGGTGTTTCAAGCATACCTAGTAAGACCCTGATTAGCTTGTTCAGGTGTGTTTGATTAGGGTTGGAGCTAACATCTGCAGCACACCAGCCCTCCAGGAACAAGTTTGGTGACCCCTGCTATATAGAATTATTAAAACTCTTTTTTTTGAAAGTTTTAAATAAGACGCTAATGGTCTAACCTGATTAAATGATTTATGCTAAGCTAAGCTAAGTGACTTGTAAAATGCCTATTTCCAAAAAAGTGGAATGTTGTTTAAGCAGTTTTTCTGAAGTCAGTAACCTCCTTAGTTGAGGGTGTGAATGCAGTTGGCTTACATATTCCATCATGTTGTTGGTTTCACACTTCCTTTTGCTGAGTCTCCAATGCAAACAAAGCTAAACGACCAGAGAGCAAAATTAGCAGAAAATTAAAAAACACTAACAATATTTGATCATTTAATCTTGTACATACCTTGTGATACAATCTGCTGTTTTCCCACTCCAATAACTTCTCTATGGATCTGCGCGTCTATAAGTGAAAAAATAACAACACTCATGTATATAAAAGAAATTACTATACAAGAAAGTCTATGATTTATGCTCTGTAATATACATCACGTGTTTAAGTTATTTAAAGTAGTCTCTTAATCTATTGAAGTTGCACAAAATACAGAAATAATAGTAATATGGGGAAAATTATTACTATTTAAAATAATCTAATTATGTCTAAATAAATAAAGGAAGTCTAAGGGGAAAGACATTCTAAAAGTCTATATTTCAGTTAAAGCACTGTAAACAAAAGAGAGCAGCAAATTTCTACAATCACTGTTCGTTTTTATAAACTAAAACAGAGTGTTGGGTTATTTATAAAAAGTAATTAACTACTTATTACATAATTTTAACCTTTTTGAACTACTTTTCTAATTACAGTGCATCCAGAAAGTATTCATAGCGCTTCTCTTTTTCCCCATTTTTTGTTACAGCACAATTCCAAAGTGGATTAAATTAAATAATTTCCTCAAAATTTTACACACAATAGCCCATAATGACAATGTGAATAAAGTATATATTTTTTAAATTGTTGCAAATTTCTCAAAAATGAAAAAGCTGGAAAAAAAAAATCATATGTACATCAGTATTTACAGCCTTCGCTCAATACATTGTTGATGCACCTTTGGCAGCAATTACAGCCTCAAGTCTTTGAATATGATGCCACGAGCTTGGCACACCTGTCATTGGGAATGTTTGCCCATTCCTCTTTGCAGTACCTCTCAGGTTGGATGGGAAGCGATGGTGTACAGCCAATTTCAGATCTCTCCAGAGATGTTCAATAGGATTTAAGTCTGGGCTTTGGCTTGGCCACTCAAGGACATTCACCAAGTTGTTGTGAAGCCACTTCATTAGCTATGTTTCCATCCAAAAATGCGAATGAACTTTATGCGCAAAACTGGATTGTCGCATAAAAGTTGTGCGAATGAAGCAGCATTTCCATCCAACGAGTCAAAGCAAACAAAATCTTCATATCCTGATTAACTGGCGCCAAATATCAACAGTAAAAACTGCATTTGCTGCAGTAGGAGAAGCTGCATCAATCTTTTCTAAATGAATGCGCATCAGAAGACAATCCTGACATGCAGTGAGCGTGCAGTGGCGTTTGAAGGTGTCAGACGCGGAGCACAGGCGCTCTTGATTCTGGAGGTCAATAATAATATAATAACACTAATACTGAAACGGTTCAGGCGTTTTATAATAACCAAAACAACATTTCAGATGTTTTATAATGTGCTCAGCCTGACGTTTTTGTCCATTCACACACATTTTAAGCATCACATGATCTCTTTTAACAAAATCACATGACCTTTTTTAATGCGCATGGTGGAGATTGTGCGGTAAAAGTGTTTTCATCGTAGTTTTGCCCATCTTTTCTTATAGAATAAAAAGTTTATCCTACTCGGTTATACGCATATGTTTTTTATGCGCAATTTCAAAATTTATGCGCATCATGGCGTTTCCATCAACTCATTCATCATCAAGAATGATCAGTGGAAACAGAATGTACGCGAGCTCAATTTAGAGCTTCACAGCAAAGGCTGTGAATACTTATGTACGTGTGATTTTTTAGGTTTTTTTATTTTTTATAAATTTGCTACAATTAAAAAAGATATTTTTCACATCTTCATTATGGGGTATTATGTGTAGAATTGAGGAAAAACTTAACGTAATACATTTCGGAGTAAGGCTGTAACATAGCAACATTCCATAGTTTGTTAATTTAGCTTGTGCTGTTTTTGGATTGGACAAATAAAACCTTCTAAAATAATCTGAATTGATATGAAAAATATCTGAAAAAATACATTAGAAATGTATATACATTTACTCTGCTTCTCTGAATTTATACCATATATTGCCATCAACTCAATACATTTTAAGCATTTGCAGTTATCTTGATAAATGGTCTTTAGTTGAAAACAGAATTATTCTGCAAAATATATATTTTATTCTGCTTCTCAAATTGATTTATACAGAGCTGTTGAGTTTTTGTACAGCATTTAAGGCATGTTAACTATAAGTAACTGTAATTAAATTACCTAAAAATTAAACTTGATCAACTTTTCTAGCAGAAACGTAATTAAATTACTTTGTAACTAATTACTTTGTATTTAACTGCACCCAACATTACTAAGAGATATGCCAAATTATAGTGTAAATTTACACTGTGTAAATGACAGCCAACCACAAATGTTCTTACTAAAGCTGAACTCCTATTAAACCAGGAACATTCCATTTATTTTGTCAGCTCACATTGCTCTTTTTGAGGTGAACAATTAATCGCAGCTTAAAGGGAAAGTTCACCACAAAAAAAATCTATTTCCTTTCCATTTCCCTAATACTGGTGGTTTTAAACTTTTACGATTTTTTTTCTTCTGCTGAACTTTAAACAAAATAGTCTGAAGAATGTTGGGGGAAAAACAGCTCACTGACATTTATAGCAGGAACAACAACAACAAAAATACTACAGAAGTTAATGGCTCTTTCCTTCCCCCAACATTTTTCAGTATATATATTCCTTTGTGTCCAACAGAAGAAACTAAATACAAAATATAATGTTGTTTGACGTATATCGTGCCTTAACAGTAAGAGCCGTGTGGTTAGGACTATCATGGCTGAAGCTGTCAAACCGACGTCAACAGAGAAGGGCCGACACTCTTTACATGAAGATTATCAAAACAACCTTTTTTTCAGTGGATTAACTTGCACTGATTAATTGTTTACCTAAAGATTTACAATGTTTTTTAAAAAGAGAAACATTGTAGTTTTGATTTCATCCGGATGTTTAAGGTGGCAGTGGAGAAACTAACCCTCTTGCTAAGACAGATGACGGGCCACAGACTGAAGCCCAGAGTGCAGCAGCAGCACAGACATCCACAGAGCAGCCAGCGCACATTCACCGGCAGAGCCTTCCTCAGACAGCTGTTCACTCGGTTTATGCTGGACTTAAACTCCTCCGGGGCCACCTGCACATCAGCCAGCGAAGCAGAGGTATCAAAGAAATGTTCAACCACAGAACGCTTAGAACATTGTAAACAAAAGTTGAATCTAATCTATCTAATCTAAAACTCATTTTAAAGAACTTGACAGCCAGAAAACATGAAAAAATGCAACTAGAGCAGTGGATCTCAAACTTTTTTACACCAAGTACCACCTCAAAAAAGAATTGTCTCTCCAAGTACCACCATAATAAGCAGAATTAAAATACAGTGGCATAGTAGGCTCATAAAAGAAGCTACAGCTCTGCACACTCCAAAAACATGGCAGATTAATTCCTATTATTAAGAATATGTATTATTATCAGACACTTTATACATTATAAATACTTTGAAGATTAAAACTTTACTGTGCTTATATGTTAAAACAAATAAACAAAATAAAATGTCAACGTGGGTTTTTAAAAGTTAAAAATGTCAGGCTACTCTTCCTAATAAGTGAAGAAAAAAAAAAGTAAGGTATTAACATATTGTAGAATATTCATCAAAACTGAGATGTTGCTTGGACCTCATAAAATAGACTATATGTTTTCACATTGATATATAAATCATTTTTGATACATTTTTAAATATATCTAGCATGTGTATATGACATATTTGATTCCTCCGCGTACCGCTAGAAGGAAGTCTGTATACCACTAGTGGTACACGTACCACAGTTTGAGAACCACTGAACTAGAGGATTCTACTAAATATTACTGTGATCTACATTAATTTGGGCTATAATAATTACCTATTTAATTGCTCTTTCCTATAGATGAAATATTGATTGAAAGGACGCTTACCTTTCCTGTAAGTGCTGAGGGAAACTCGGACTCAAATTTATTGCTTAGACCAAACCTGCAGGAGAAGGAAAAACTACTTTAATAAAAAGAAAGATACAATTTGTCAAACTTTATAGGTTTACTGTATATCTATCACCTGAAATAGTCTAAATATTTAAGGATGTTCACTACTTCTCCTTAAAAATATGTATTTAAAATTGGAAGCAAGAGAGTGCTAAGGGGTCTGTGTTGCAGATGTGTTTTATTAAAAATGTATAAAAATAAGTGTAACACTGCAATAAGGTTTAACCTGTTAAAAAGTTACCAGCAAAAGATAGCATATTTTTATATGTATAAGTATATTCTTTTTAGTTAATGTCAAATTCAGCATTAATAAATGTGTAATAATCAATGTATTGATATGTAATGCATATATTGGAATCCAATGACAATCAAAGTACAGCATTGTTCCCATTCAAATAAATAGGCTTAATGTTGTTTTGAAGTCATACTTACATGTCATTTCAAGCCAAATATTCTAAGTACCATGGTAAGTAATATAGGAAGCATGTCACAAGTTGTCACTTGATGAATGTGAAAACGTAAAACTAACTTTACATCAACCTAATAACGTATACTACAAAAACAAACAACGCGTTATTCATAATTTACCAGAAATGAGTTTCATAACTCGTGTTCAATACTGTTATTCCAAACCCATAAACTTCTATAAAACATACAACAACTGATAGTTTCAGTGTGTTGAAGAAGATGACTGAGGCTGTCATAGGAGAAACAGAAAATACAGTTTGAGAACAGGAGGAGTGTGAGAATGACTTTCATTTTTTAGGTGCACTATCCCTTTAAATGTGCATGTCATAATCTGCCCTGTCGAGACCAAAGTGAGTTACAATATTTGACATTATTTAAAGATGTTATAACCAAACCAGCACATCTAGAAAGCTGTTCACTATGTTAACCATGTTTCGAGACAAGTCGTGGACACCACCGTGTCTCTTAAGCTGTCGTGCAGGCACTCAGCACGCCTCGTGTGTTTCTACGTGGACGCTGAGCTTCTGAATGCTTTGGTTTAATCAGCTGTACATTATTAAGCTTTATGTGAAGAGATGTGGGTCTGCCGGGTGTCTCTTACACAGTGACGTGTCCGGATCCGCGCACTACCACCGGGTCCGGAGCGTACTTGAGCAGCTGCTCCTCCGCGGCCCTGTCCTCGTCCTCCTCTTCCTCTTCCTCCTCCTCGTAAATCTCGTCAAAGTCCTCCATCATCGCCCTCCGCCTCGGCCTCTATGCTTCCCGAAAGAAGCGCCGAGAAAGATAACGCTTCGCACACCTTACGCAAATATTGGCAGTAATGCAGATCGCACGGCCCGCAGTGAGAAACGACGGTAGAAGTCCGGATCAAAACATCAACATCCGCCGAAAATCTCGCGCGCGTTGATCTCGAGACACATCGCGAGAGTAAGTTACATTCTCCAGTTGTTGACTTCTCGTGTCAATGTTTGTGACCTACATTTCACTATTTTATATAAACTCTATGTATATAGATACAATCATTTGCTTCAGGGTACTTAATGAGACACCAAACTTACCCTCACATTCCTCAACAACAGGGGCGGACTTGGTGATTTGGGGGCCCTAAGTAATCCTAGGCATGTGGACGCATTGAAACCTGATTGAAACTCAAAACACTTTCTCAATATATATATATTTCTTCATAGATTCGTTTTCTTGTTTTTGTAAATAAACTGCATGTTAGAAATATATTTTAAGTGGAAACTTTACCTTTTTAATGTAAATTTAAATACAATTAATTCACAAATAAAAAGCTTATCCATTATTCATGGTAGCCCCTGATTTTGAAAAGAAGCAATCACACTAAAATCTTAATGGTTATAGACAGATTTTACAACATATGACAGAAAATTTATAAAAGAGCTTCATACCCTCAGTGCGGAGGTATAGGAGTGTGATGCAGGACTGCCACACTCGAGAACTCTTTTATTTCCCCATCAGCGATCACACTTTTAAACGGATAACCAGTGAACAAAACGGTTTCATTTTCTGCTCAGTAGCACACTATTCTCCATCCAATTTGCACTATTAATGCATACAATTATACTCAATCTGCTCCGGCCATCATAATGTTGTTTGTTTGCGCATAAGCCAATTGCACTAGGCACTTTTTGCACAATTTTAAGAACTGCTTTACATTGTTTACATTACTCATTATTATATATTGTTTACATTAATAGATGTTTATATATTTACATTTCATAATTATACTTTCGTCACTTCTCTTTCTCTCTGTGTGTGTGTGTGTATATATATATATATATATATATGTATGTATGTATGTGTGTATTTATGCGTGTATGATATGTGTATGACTTCACTGTGGACGGCAAAGTAAGAATTTCATTGTACAGGGAAACATGTTTCCTTACTGTGCACATGACAATAAACAAATTGAATTGATTAATAATATATTAATACAGGCTTCTTGGCATTGGTTGGGGCCCCCTAATTCCCTGGGGCCCAAAACGTCTGCTTACCTCGCTTAATGGTTAAGTCAACCGCTGCTCATTAATAAAGTTAATACTAGAGTACAGTAGATATAAATAGTATGCTTTTGTATTTCAGTATAATTCATTAAAGAGCTATGTAAATATTGCCCTTTTATCCATAATTGCAAATGTATTGTTTAGTACTTAATGTGTTGTAGTTTACTTGTTAGGTAGCAAACTTAATAAATAATACACATTGTATTTCATACGCTATTATACACCACCGTTCAAATGTTTGGGCTTATTTATTATTTTTAATATAAAATATTTTCCACCAGTAATTTTTTTGCACTAAAAATAATGGATTAAATAGATAAAAAAGGCAAATAATTCCTTTTAAAAATGTTCTTTTAACCATTCTATTCATCAATAAATCATCAATAAAAATAAAAATATTGACCAGTTTTCAACTTGATAATAAGAACAGCTTTTAAGCACAGAATAATAGGCATTATATTTCTGTAGAATCACATAACACACTGAAGGCTGGGGTAATGTCTGCTTGACCCAAAAATAACCCAAAAGTTATTTCAAAGAACACCTAATTTACCTCTTTCACAAGCTGTAAAATAAGCCTTTGATGTTTCCACAATGTGTCTGTAAAGTGTCAGCTCAAAATACCCATCAGATTATTTATTATAGCCCCAGAATCTGCCCATTTTGATGTCTGAATACAGTGTAGCTGTTTTTGTAGCCTGTGGCTTTAAATGTAAATGAGCTGCTTCTCCCTGCCCCGCCCAGTTCTCATCATGCATTACGTCAGATAAACAGCAGTCAGTGACAGACGCAGATAAAGCTGAAATACAGCTCATTAGTCAAAAATACCAAGCAAATTTGATGTATTTGTGGAGTTTATTCAAGCCTTTCTGACATGATGAGTCTCACATCATCGCTGATTGCAGTACACACACATATTAGTGTCTACTAACCTTATTATTAGTTTAATAACCATTTTAAACTTGCAAAAAATCAAAGGGAGTTGTACAAAATTTTAATTCCAGTTTATTTGCTAAACAAATGTTCGGTGGACATGTGGTCCACGTCAGGAAATTTGATCACTCCAATATGACTGTGGACACACTATAATTACACAGTTCTGTCCAAACAGCTCACAATAGCTGATTTTCATCATATGTGCCTTTTAAATCCTAAAAGAATTCCGTAACACTGTTTAATTCTATTATATGCAGCCTTGGTAGAGTCTGATAACAACTGTGAACGTTTTTAATAACAATAATAAACACACAAGACCCAACAAACATTACCAAATGCTCTTTTTTAATCCAACAAATCAACATCTACATGTTACAACTGCACTGGGAAAAACCAACAGAACAAAAAAAAGGGCAACGTGAAAACGAACAGAAGGTAAACTGGATTACAGCTTCGTTTATCATGATTTGGTTGCGGTGACAGAAGGCGAGCAGGAGTTACTCCATGGCCTCCTGGTTCTCCTGGTCAGCGGATCGCTCCTCGCTGGGCTCTTTGCCCTCTTTGCTCCTCTTGGACTTCTTGTGTTTGTGGCGCCGGTGACTGTCTCCCTCCTCGCTCTCATGTCTCCGTCTGCTACTGCTGTGACAGAACAGGAGAAGATCACAGAGGAGAAAAGATCTTAAAGGGGATACATGGTAGATTTACTTGTGCATTAATAAGTCATTTGGGTCTTGCCCAGTTTTTTAGGCTGTTTAAGTGTACATAAAGAAACTCAAACCACTTGGAGACGAGTAAATGGAAAAACAATTGATTAACCAAATCATAAAAACACAGATTTTGGGTCATTTGTGTTAGGTTGGTTGAGCTTAAGTGTATCCTGATTTGAGAGTGTGGTACAGTACCTCCGTGATGACTTGTGCCTGCCCTCCTCTTTCTCTCTGTGTCTCCTCTCTCTGTGGCGCTCCTCTTTCTCCCGGCTCGCTCGCTCCCGATGCCTCTCATATCCTCGGTCTCCATAGTCACGGTAAGAGCGGTAGCGCTCTTCATCGCTGCACATGGCCATGCTTTAAAATCAATCACAATGTAAACAACTGCTCCATAAAAACATCCTGAGTAGAAGAACGTTGAGTCACTGATCAATCATGTATAGTAAGATGACAACTTAAATCTCTTAAGCGAGACACTGTAGGCAAAAACAATCCACGCATCTGTCAGTGTTTAAGACTTAGGGCTTTTTGTCAATTGATTTTCAGGCTAATTGACAATTAAACATTTTTTGAATTGCGATAAAGAGATTCTCAAAAAAGTTGCCAAATAAAATTTTATCAGACTTCCAATGCTTTATGTGCTAGAACTGCATGGAGATGAACACATATTTCATGAAATAATAATTCATTTCTATTTAAACATTCATTCATTCATTTTCTTTTCGGCTCAGTCCCTTTATTAATCTGGGGTATCCACAGCGGAATGAACCGACAACTTATTTAGCACGTGTTTTATGCAGCGGATGCCCTTCCAGCCGCAACCCAACACTAGGAGACACCCATACACTCTTGCACACACACATACACTACGGCCAATTTAGCTTATTCAATTCACCTGTACCGCATGTCTTTGGACTATGGAGGAAACCGGAGCACCCAGAGGAAACCCACAAGATATAACTATAACACTATAAAATAATCTGTGTTCCATGCATCTGTCAATGTTTAATCTTTTGGGCTTTTTATAAATGAAGTCTAATTAAAAATAATAATGATGAAATAATCCATGTTCTATATTTCTAAGCAAATTCAAATGAGCTTTATTGGTATGACTTGCACAGTATTGCCGAAGCAATTATATAATACATAGAACAAGTCAAGAATATATCAGTAATAGGTACATGCACATTATATACATAGTAAATAAATACAAGTAAATAAAAATTCTAACAACAAGAGATAAATAAGAATAAAATAAAAACAAATCAATAAAAATGTAAAGATAATGGTAATAATTATCAGGATATAAACAGGAAATGCTCTTGCTATAGGTTTGTCCATTGGCTGAGAGATTGAGGCAGGCTGACACATATTTGGCTGCTGTTGGGATCATTGTTGAATTTTCACCTAAAATATATGGTGATTTTCCTGAATTTGATAATGCCATAAAATTTGGATAAATTAGCTTGAATCTTTAAAAAAAATATTGAACTCTAATGTGGCGATGGTGATCACAGTGAAGTAGAAAATGTCCTACTGTTTCCAGCTCTCTCTCTGTGAACATAATCCTGGGGTCTCCATCTCTGTTGGTGTCTATTTTTAATCTATAAAAATGCTAAAATCTATCATCTAAATTGTCAAGTTTTTTTTACATTTATACACGTAACTTGGTGAATTATAAACACCATTTTGCAGTATAAAAATTGTGAATTTTCTTATTTTTCTTCTGGCTGTTTGCACTGTTTTCTCAATAATGTAGCAATAGAGATTTCCAAAATCCACTCTATAAAATTAAATGACTAATATAAAAAAAATCATTAAATTTAATCTGACTTAGAATGCTTTATGTGCTAGACCTGCATTAGCAGATATTTAATGAAATATTGGCTGATTTTGATATTTAAACACACCCCTTTAAAACATATCAAATCACAGTTTCCCATGCATCTGTCAATGTATAAGATTCTGGGCTTTCAGAGTCAGTCTAATGTTAAAAAAATGATTATATAATCCCTATTCTCTCCGGCGCCAGTGGTGTAGTGGTTAGTGCATCCACCCATGCACTCCGGTGCTCACAGCGACCCCAGTTCCATTCCCGCCTTGCGGTCCTATGCCAATCCTTCCCTCTCTCTGCTCCCCATGCTTTCTTGTCAATACTCT